TGTAACTCTATTACCTATTTAAAGATAAATTTTTTTTAAAGTTAAATTTATAAGTCTGTATCTTGGATGATGTGGTTCAGTACATTTAAGGTGGGGTTTGGGAACCTATTTACACATTTTAAATAACAGCTTTATTGAGATATGATTGAATGATTCATGTACAATAAAATCCATCCTTTTAAAGTGTATAATTTAGTGTTTTTTAGTATATTCATGGAGTTGTGTGACCATCGTCGTTAATTCCAGAACATTTTCATCACCGTAAAAGGAAACCTCGAACCCATTAACCAGTAACACCCCATCCCCCTCCCCCAAGTTCCTGGCAACCACCCGTCTACTTTTTGTTTCTATGGATTTGCCTATTCTGGTTATTTCATATAAATGCATTCTTACTAATTTATGACTGGTTCATTTAGCGTAATGATTTCAAGGTTCATCCATGTTGTAGCATGTATGTATGTATGTATGTAAATATGTCGCATCCACATAGAATTGGAGGAACTGCCAGACTATTTTGCAAAGTGGCTGTACCGTGTTACGTCCCCATCAGCAATGTTTGGGGGCCTGGGAACCTGTATTTTTAGCAAGGCTCTTGATGATTCTTATGATAAAGCAATTTTGGAAAACACCGACTCCGAGACTACCACGGTCCCTCTTACTGTGAATACAGGACAGTGCTGTGTTTGCCCTCCGCTCACTACCTGGCAGTGCTGAAGGACATACTGATCACTGTGCAGAAAGCAGCCATAGATTGCTGCTCTAAAGACAAATCACTGCCCCAAGGAGAAGGATCGCAAATAGAATGAATTCTGGGATGGGGTTAGCCTGGCCTGAGTGGTTTATTTGTTTTCATTTTTTTTTTTTTTGGAAGATGGGATACTTGAAAGAAACCTGATTGTCCCCTGAAACCTCAGAAGATTAGATGGAGGAAGGCACAGCGTAGGGAAGCTGCTGCTTATACATGCTTTTTCCTTCCCCCAGTGGGACGAGGATAATGAATTGGAATCTGAGTTCTCTCTTCTCTGTAGCCTTTTTGTTTTTTGCTGAGGAAGATTGGCCCTGAGCTAACATCTGTTGCCAGTCTTCCTCTTTTTGCTTGAGGAAGATTCGCCCTGAACTAACATCTGTGCCAACTTCCTCTATTTTGTATGTGGGTCGCCGCCACAGCGAGGCCACCAATGAGTGGTGTAGATCCACACTCCGGAACTGAACCCAGGCCACTGAAGTGGAGTGTGCCGAACTTAACTACTAGGCCACAGGGCTGGCCTCCCCTCTGTAGTCTTTTTTAAGAAACACATCTAACCCATTTTACCTTGAATTGTCTCTGTGGCTTTTAATAGCCACGAAATAAAGTGTTATATGATATTGACATGATTATTTGGAACTCGGTGAGGAAAAACTGTTTTCATATACAGTGCTAATTACTAAGACAAAATTGAGAAGTCTCCCAGACAAGATTTTTTATATGGGGCAAGTCTTCTGAGGATAGAAATAAAAATCTGCTTTGGAACCCTCTGGAACACTGCCTGCCCCAGCCCTTAAATAAGTTTCTTTGCGCTCCCTCCTTTGGAATGGGAACTGAGTGGGGCGGCTGTGAGGAGCAGGGCTCCCAGCACAAGGCTGCTCCCTCTTTAATGAGGCATAATAGCAGGCACTTTTCTTGGGGCCACTTGGTAACAAACACATAAATAGAATAAACAAATGGTCTTTCAAGTTGTTCTGAGCAGAACTTGAGTTTCCACTGAGAGAAGCTCTTCACCTTGTTTCATCATGGACTTAATGTTTCCACTGGAAAGCAATGCCTATGGAGCCGTGGGGACAGGGGGCCTTTCCTGCAGAAGGAAGACAGCCAGACTGGTGAGTCCAGGCCTGCCTGTGCTCTAAGGAGGTCCTGTCAGGGTAGGTTCAGCTGTGTTTCCTTTTTTTGTATTGTGGTTAGTTATTCATAACGTAAAATTTACCATTGTAAACTTTTTTTTTTTTTTGGTGAGGAAGATTGGCCCTGAGCTAACATCTGTTGCCAATCTTCCTCTTTTTGCTGAGAAAGATTGACTCTGAGCTAACATCTGTGCCCATCTTCCTCTATTTTGTATGTGGGATGCCACCACAGCATGGCTTGATGAGTGGTACATTGGTCCCCACCTGGGATTCAAACCTGCAAACCCTGGGCCACCGAAGCAGAGCATGTAAACTTAACCACTATGCCACCGACTGGCCCCTACCATTGTAACATTTTTAGGAGTACAATTCAATGGCTTTTAGTATATTCACAATGCTGTGCGACCATCACCACTATCCATTTCGAGAACTTTTTCATTATCCCAGACTAAATGAAACTCTGTACCCATTAAACAGTAACTCTCTGTTCCCAGCTCCCCATTCTACTTTCTGTCTCTATAAATTTGACTATTCTAAGTACCTCATGTAAGTGGAATCATACAGTGTTTGTCCTTTTGTCTGACCTATTTCACTTAACGTAATGTTTTCAAGGTTCATCCATGTTGTAGCAGGTATCAGAATTTCATTCTTTTTTAAGGCTGGATAATATTCCCTTGTATGTGTGGTCCACATTTTGCTTATCCATTCATCTGTTGATGGACACTAGGGTTGTTTCCACCTTTTGGCTCTTGTGAGTAATGCTGTTATGAATATTTGCGGGCAAGTTATCTGAGTCCCTGTTTTCAGTTCTTTTGGGTATACACCTAAAAGTGGAATTGCTGGGTCAGATGATAACTCTATGTTTAACTTTTTGTGTGTGTGTGAGGAAGATTGGCCCTGAGCTAACATCTGTGCCCGTCTTCCTCTATTTTGTATATGGGACACCACCACAGCATGGCTTGATGAGTGGTGTAGGTCTGCGTCCAGGATGTGAACCTGTGAACCCCAGCCGCAGAAGCGGAGCTTGTGCGCTTAACCACTGCGGCACCAGGCCGGCCCCGGAGCATCTTTTCATAGGCTTTTTGACCATTTGTGTATTTTCTTTGGAGAAGTGTCTATTCAGGTCCTTTGCCTATTTTTTAATCGGGTTACTTTTCTTTTGTTGTTGTAGAATTTCTTTGTATATTTAGGTTATAAACCCCTTATCAGAGCTATGATTTGCAGTTTGTTTCTTTTTGAAAAACACGAATCCAATTGTGTGGCTCAGTGTGGGTGATGGCCTTTAAATTCTGCTCAGCTCTATCTTTTACCATCCTGGGCTGCTTTAACCTGGCGGCTCAACTTTTTGAGCTCGTTTCCTCACCTGGGCATGGAAACAATGGGTACTTTTCCCAGATGACTGCATGAGGACTAAGAATATAAACTACTTTAAGACATCTTAAGTTCCCCTGAATAGTGCTGTTTACTACTGTCTGTAGGCCGAGACAGAAGACCCTGCAGCTTCTGACTCTTTCTGGAAAATTTATCTACCAGAGCCAATATCAAGTGTCTTTTCCCAGAGCCCCTATATTTAATCTCGTTCTGCCCAACAAGGTGGGGATCAGCTGCTCCATGTCCCCCTAGACCAGAGTACACAACAGACTCCCAGTACACAGGTGTTAATTAGTGGTCTCATCACCACACTTAGCTTGTCAACTGTTGTCCCCACTCTTTCCCCTTGTGCCCATAATGCCAGGAGAGTGCCTGTTCACAGTTGGTGCTTAATAAATTTGCCTAGGTGAATGTGGTAAGGGTGTGAGTGCAGGATTCGAGAGACAGCCTGGGAAGGAAGCTTCTGGAGCAGAGGTAACTTTATGTGGAAAGCTCTGAGAGCAGTGTCTTTCCAGAACCTGTTTCTTTTTCCTTTGAAGAAGGAAGAGAAGGCGAAAAACTGCTCCCCAACTGTAGACACATCTTCTTCTCATTCTGCGCAGGCCTTGTTCCCGGGAGGGTGGGCGTGCGTTGTGTTTGCCCCTCTGGGTGCTGGATGGGTTCTGGTTTCAATTCAGGATGCTGTAGCCAGCACAGTGTTCTCTCTGCATCACTGGAAGTCGTTTCGGAGTGGCAGTGTATTTGGACCGTGCAAGCGTTTGATCTTGTCGGGTAGTTTAAAATTTCCCTGTCGGGTCAGTGTTTTGTCTGTTTCGGCCTTGAGGCTTTTTCTCATGGTTAATACTTGGCCGGTTTTAGAAAGAACCCTCTCCCTCTCCCTCTCTCCCCAACTCCAGTCCTTCCCCCTCTCTCCCCATCCCTTCCTCCCTGTCTTCTGTCCTCCCATCGCTTGCTCTCTCTCACTCCCATCTCGCTCTTTTTCTAACCCTCCTCCTCTCTCTCTCCCCCCCTCTCCCCTTCCTTCCTTTCTCTCACCCTTTGAAGTCTTCTTGTTTTGCAGACTGCTTCATATTTCTTAAACTATCTTCATTTCCCAAATGATTCTCTGGAACTCTTACCCAATCAGAAGTCTGAAGCTGTGTGTGTGCGTGTGCACGCATTCCTTCAGACCTTTCCGTTGTCATTTCCTAACAGATACGGTGTGCACTAGAGTAGACTCAGACCAGAGTTTGAGCGCGGGCCCCACCGCCAATGCTGGCGCCTCCTGCATCCGCAGGACACTGTTGTGGGACCAGTTACTTCTCTTTCTGCACCTTATTTCCCGTCTGTGCAGAGGGCCGGATGACAGCACTTCCCTCTTGTGGGGCAGTGGAGGGTTCATGAACCAGTCCAGGTGGAGCCCTCAGCCCAGGTGCCTGTGATTTCCAGGCTTGCTGAAAAAATTGGCAGCCTGCTTTTCTTACTTATCTAAAGCCAGTTTGACTGAGATTCTGTGACTGAATTACTCAAAGAAGGAAGGAGGGAAAGAGGGAGAGATGGGAGGCAACAGCAGTGCCCTGTCAACCGAACGTTCCACCAGGTCGATTACGGTGTGCAGAAACCCCCTTCTAGGACTGCCTGCCGTATTGGGCCCTCAGCGGGGCCTGACCTCCATGTAACTCTCAGGGCCAGCCTCCAGGCCATGTGAAGAAGAGAGCACACCCTGAATTTGTTCAGAGTTCTCATACACGGACTTTTCTTCTGTCTTGCAGCTGATGCCTTTTTCAAAGCTGCTATAAGCCTCGTTCCAGAAGTTCCAAAGATGATTAATATTGACGGAAAGATGCGGCCATCGGAATCGTTCCTTCTGGAATTCCTCTGCAATTTCTTTTCTACTTTATTAATAGTTCCGGTACGTTTCCCCAGAAGAGCTGTTGGTGATGTCTTTCTTTGACCTGCCTTATGTACATTCTTAGCCCTAAAACTGTAGGGATGTTCTGTCTATATCTGTGTGTTGGTTTTCTGGTCAGATGTTTGAATTGCTCTGTGTCTAGGGTGTATTAGTTAAGGCTCTCTATATGGCCACAGGGGTGTCACTTAGCGGTTAAGGGCTTAGGCCTCCGGACCAAGATGCCAATGGTGGAATCCCAGCACCCCCTCCTCCCAGCTCGGGCAATGATGTAACATCAGTGGGCTGCAGTTTCCTCATCTATAAAATGGGAATAATAATAGTGTCCACATCTCTGGGTTGCTGTGAGGACTAAGTGAGTGAATATACATGCATGGTTAGAACAGTGCCTTGGCACATGGTAAGCACTAAAAAAGGTGATGGTGATCTTCTTTTGCTGGCAAGTACTAGAAACCAAAACAAGGTCGCAGAGGTCAAAGGGGACATTGTTGGAAGGATGCTGGGGTTTTTCACGGAATGTAAGAGGTGAACAGTCAGGCTGGGGCTGGATGGAGTCAAGGCCACTCCCAGGACCCAGCACTAGGACCCTCACCCTAGCAGGGGTTCTTAACCTGGGGTCCACCTACTCCCTGGGGTCTGGCAAGGTGACCATAGCTTTAAATGAGAAAAAAAATGACACCTTTGTTTTTACCAACCTAAGTGAAATTTAGCTTTTTGTTGCATTATGAATTACAGGCAGCAGGCCACAGTAGTTGTCAGATAGCTGGGACTTTGTCATCGAAAGAAAAAAACAATATCACATTTCAGGTGGGAAATATATTTCAGAAGATTGTTTACCTGCTTCCTTCCTTAAAAAGCACAGTAATTATTAGGCCCATCACTAGGTCTGTTATTTAAAAGTATTCACCAAGAATTAATAGATTATGGTATAACCAATACATTGAGAAACTATTTTGACAACTATATTTTAGCATAATTGGTTTCCTTTGTAGTCTTATGTATTTTTCTGCATTAAAGATAGTATTGTGAGTTGTCCATAGGCTTCACCAGACTACGACAGGGTCCAGGCACAAAACGGGTTGGCTCCTAGTGGAGCCACATGTGTGCAGGAATCAGAGATACTGTTAAAATACGGATTCTTGGGCCCCTCTCCCAGAGAGTCTCACTCAGTAGGTTGGGATTGGCCCGTGAACCAGCATTTTTGAGAAAGCTCCCTCAGCGATTCAGGTGTAAGTGGTCCTAGGACCACACTTTGGGAAACATCCCTCTGGATCCAGGCCATGAAAGTGACTCAGCTCCCATGGGTACGGGTTCCTTTCTGGGGTGATGAAAATATTCTGAAATTGATTGTGGTGATGATTGCCCAACTCTGCGAATATACTAACAACCATCGAATTGTGCATTTTAAATGGGTGAATTGTTGCGTGTGTGAATTATATCTCAGTGAAGCTGAGAAGACAGAATGTAACTGAGCTCCCAGCTCTCCATTTCAGATCCCAAGTTCTCCAGAGAGAAGATCAGTGGTTAGGAGGCCGGGCTTGACGCTTGACTTTCATATTTTCAAACCCCCTTCTTAGTACTTTATAATCCGTTTCCCTCTTTTTTGGATGGTCTAGTTATTTGTCAAGTGAAGGGACCTCATGAGGAAGTTGATCGGTGCCACTGATCGTTGATTAATTGGGATACGTTTGCCTTCTGCATGTGGGGTAGGTTTTAACATTTTCTTCATGTTAAAATCATTGGAGCCTTGAGGAACAGCCTTGTGCTTGGACTCAGAAACTTGCGTTCTTGTGGCTTTGGGAAAGTTTTGTAACCCCTCAGAGCCTCCGTTGCCACCTTCCTAAAATGTCATCAAAATGCCCACTTTGCAGGGCTGCTGTGAGGCTTGAATGAAATGAACCCGGGCCGGCCCTGTGGCTTAGCGGTTAAGTGCGCGCGCTCCGTTGCTGGCGGCCCGGGTTCAGATCCCAGGCGCGCACCGACGCACTGCTTCTCCAGCCATGCTGAGGCTGCGTCCCACATACAGCAACTAGAAGGATGTGCAACTATGACATACAACTATCTACTGGGGCTTTGGGGGGAAAAAAAAAAAAAAAAAAAAAAATAAAAAAAAAAAAAGAAATGAAGCAGAAGCTCTGCCCCTGGGGTTACAAACTGATGAGCCGTGAGTGGATTCCAGCCTGTAGACATGCTTGTTGGCCATGTAACGATGGAAAACATTTGGAATGAATTACCCAAATTCAAAAATTGGTAGATCACAGAAAAACCCAGATTTTCAGTTCCTCTTGAAAAATCAGGTCTTGCCATGTGGGGCCTGCTTTCCCTAACCTGGCCAATTGGCTGCCACTGGAGAGCAGCTGTCCTGTTCTGGGAGGGCGAGTGCACTCTCTCCAGTTTGTCTGGGCCCCTCCAGACCCATTAAACTCCTGTCTTTTGCCTGCCTGGCCCCTTAGGCAGTCATGGGAATGCTCTCTGGTCTCAACAGATTTTATCACTCCTGGTATCAGCGCTCCTGCGTTTGCTAGGATTTACTGCCGACAATGAGATGATTTAGAGCTCCAGTTCACGGCTTCTTACTAGGTGCCCTGTGCTGTGCTGCAGCCCTTTGTCAACATTCAGTCTCTAGGAGTCCTCCCCAAAGCCCTACAAAGTAGGGGTCCTTGCACTGCTCCACTTAAGAAAACCTAGAGCTACGAGGCCACGCAGCCTGCCCGAGGTCGCACAGCTCATAAGCAGCAGAGCTGGGATTTGAAGCCAGGTCTGTGCTAGTCCAGAGCCTGTCGGGCACCATCAGAGGCTTGAAACGTTTGCAGTGCGCTTCACTTGCTCAAGGTCCTTGAGCCTTAACAGCCCTGCATCCCTCCTGTGGGAGGCAGCATTAGCAACCGCCAGCTGGCTTTGCGGCTGCCGGAAGATGTTGAGCCTGCCTAGCCAAGGCTGAGTGCCCCCTGAGCTCCGGGGCCGTGGGATGGGCCACCCGGGAGCCATGTCTGCTGTGAGTAGGTTTAGCACTCACACGACTCCCATGTCCCACTTTTACCCGGTTCAAATTGTTTTTCCTGTCACAGCTTCTATTTTTTATTTTTTAAATTTGATTTTATTGTTGTAAGAACATTTAACATGAGATCTGCTCTCTTAACGCATTTTTTGTGTGTGTGTGAGGAATATTAGCCCTGAGCCAATCCTCCTCTTTTTGCTGAGGACGATCGGCCCTGGGCTAACATCTGTGCCCATCTTCCTCTGCTTTATATGGGACGCCACCACAGCGTGGCTTGACAAACGGTGCATAGGTCCGTGCCTGGGATCTGAACCCATGAACCCTGGCCTGCCGAAGCGGAGCACGTGAACTTAACCACTACACCACTGGCCTGGCCTTCTTAACACATTTTTAAGTGTACTGTACAGTATTGTTGACTGTAGGCCCAGTGTTGTACAGCAGATCTCTAGAGCTTATCTGTCTTGCTTAATTGAAACTTAGAGGTCATTGGTTAGTAACTCCCCATTTCTTGCTCCCCCCAGCCTCTGAAAACCACCATTCTACTCTGCGATTCTATGAATATGACTATTTTAGATGCCTCATATAAATGGAATCTTACAGTATGTGTCTTTTTGTGACTGGCTCATTTCACTTAGCCTAATGTCCTCAAGATTCATACATGTTGTCATATATGACAGAATTTCCTTTTTTGAGGCTGACTGGTATTCCATTGTATGTATATACCACATTTTCTTTATGTATTCGTCTATCGGTGGACATTTAGGTTACTCCACATCTTGGCTATTATGAATAGTGCTATAATGGGAGTACTAATATCTCTTTGAGATCTTGATTTCAACTATTTTGGATAAATACCCAGAAGTGGGCATTGCTGGATCGTATGGTAGTTCTATTTTTAATTTTTTGAGGTAGCTCCATACTGTTTTCCATAGCAGCTGTACCATTTTGTGTTCCCACTAACAGTGTGAAAGGCTTTTAAAGGATGGGTTTGAAAAGCTTTGATTCATTTTATTTGTTTAGAAAAAAACTGAAGCCATTTTGGACCAAATAAAATACCTGGCCTGCTTTGCTCGTCCTTAGAAATGCAGAAATAAACATTCCCCAGGGACAGCCCATTCTCCTCAGCAAGCAGCGCCACTCATGGAGCATTTTGGAGCATTCTGGAACATTCTGCTCTGGTGTTAGTAGCGATCAGCCTCTTGGTAGACTGCAGGACGGTCTTCTCTATGTAATTGAACTAATACATTTCCTTTAACATTTGGTGGGACGAGTAAAGGAGAATTCATGGCACAAGTTCAGTGTTACTGCTTCAGAGGCCTAATTTTGATTCACTTGAAATTTGTAGACAGCGGAAGTGTTATCCCCATCAGTTTTCTGGCTCTAATCACCTGGGACGTGGCAGGGAAATGTCTTTTCTCCTTCTTACCCTCATGAAGGGGTCTGACCGCAAGCCTAACAAGATGTGCAGGTGCTAAGCTTCATTCATTCCATCTGTTTCACAAATATTTGTTGACCTGGGAATTGAGGAGTGAACAAGAGAAGCGTGTCCTCCCACTCCAGTGACAGATGCTAAACAGATAAACTCACCCTGAACTACAGTTGTGTAAAGTGCCATAAAAATCTACAGGGACTGCTGAGAGCCAAATTTGAAGGGAAGTGGATCAGGGAAGTTCCCAGAGAAAGTACCACTGGAACTGAGATCTGAAGGAAGACTAGTACTTAGAACTAAGTGCAGAGGGGGAAGGAGAGGGCATTCTGGGCAGAGGGAATGACGTGGGGGAAGGCCTTGGCGGGGGAGGGGCCCTGTGCATTGGAGGGACAGCGCCTGGGGAGGCTAAAGGGATGCCAGGGGCTTAAGCTCATGAGACACGGGCGGGCTCCCGCAGGGCCAGGTAGCTCCACAGACAGTAAGCTCGAATGTCCATGGTGATCTGTCTCCTCCCTCCCACCCCCTCCATGTCGCCTAGTCCCCCCTCTTTCCTTTCCTGCTTTTCCTCCCAGCTCCCCTGTGTTCTGACTCCTTTTCTAAAGGACTTATTATTTGTTTAACCAACACTTACATACCTCTTAGAGTGAGCCAGCCAGCAGTTCACAAACATTCACTCCAAACAAGCCTATTATTATCCTCATTTCACAGAAGCAGACCCTGGCACAGAGAGGTGAAGTGACGCGCTCAGGGTCACCAGCTAGTAAGTGGACAGACAGAATTCAAAGCCAGGATGTCTGTGCTCAGTGCTGTCTTCGCTGCCTCTCATCTTAGCTCTCCTGGGAAGTTAGTCATTTCTAGGATATTCCTTCTCCTCCCAAGGAGTGACATTTAATAGAAAGATTTCCACAGACCAGGGACCCAAAGGGATCTTGTGAATAGTAGACGCCAGGCCCACTGTCCGCCCGGGCGGGGGAGGTTAGAGTCCCTCCCGGGTGCGCCGTGGGGGCCGCCTCATAAGCATCCATTTGCCCTGTCAGAGAGGCAGCCCTGGCAGGGACACCAGGGGGAACCTTTTCCCACTCGATTACCAGCTGAATCCAGGACCTTTTTTTCCCTTGTTTTTAAAAAATCCTGTGTTTGCCTTGCTTCAGGTGCTGGCACTAAGCCATCAGAGTACAATTTTTTTTTAAAATGTTACAGCCACTGAAGCATAGATATCATGTGGAAAATTTTTTCCTGTACAGAAGGCTGGATAGAATCTCTCGTCTCTTCAGTTATGAGCAAAAACTCAGGGAAATGGCTTACTACAAACCTTTATGTCTCCATTACCCCTTCTTCCACCTTTTTGGAGGTGTGTTGAATGGTCTCCCACAATATTTACAGCATTTGTGTTGAAATTAAGTTACGGGAACACTCGGATTGTTGTCTCTCCCAGGTAGATCCTGAAATAAAAAATATTTTTGAACATCCCCATATCAGAACGAAATAGCCTAGTTAGACACAGCTGTTATCAAAGAAAGGCAGTAGTAAGCTGCCAGCTGAGACTCAGTCTGTACATGGAAGGCAGACGCGGCGTGGGCAGTTTTGATGTGTACAGTGTGAGCATTAAGACTTGAGCATCACGTGTCCTCTTCCTTGCTGATATCATAACAGCAATTCCTGGGCATGTTAACAGCTGTACAAAACATCGCACACCCCTCCACCCCCATTCTCACCCACTGGAGGGATTACTGCTGTATATAAGCATGTTGGGTTGGGTGGCTGTTAATTCCCACCCACCTTGCTTATAATGCTTCTCAGACTCCGTGCGTGTATTCAGAATAGTTGACTCCATGTACACCTTTCCCCGGTTAGCCAGCTCCATAAAGTCAGAGGCGCGCCTAACTCATCAGCAGAGAGGCAGTATAAATAGAGTATGAATAGTTAGGAATGTCTGCTCTGGAGCCAGCCTGCCGGGGCTCAAACCCTGGTTCCTCCATGTACCAGCAGTGTGATGTCAGCTCACTTAGCTCTCTGTGGCTCATTTCCCATCTGTGAAGTGGGGTTCAGGGGTGGATAATAGTATCTTCCTGGAACATAGACGAGCTCTGGTAGCTCCGATAGCTTCCAGAAAAGTTGGCTGCTGTTACTTGTTTTGTAGCCACCTCAGTCCCTGGCACATAGCAAGTTTCAAAAGATGTAACCCATTTGGCATTATTTACCAGGTGCCTGCCATGTGGCCAGCTCTGTCCCAGAAAGGGGCAGGGACGGGCACTGTTGCAGTGTGTTCCCCGGGCAGTGCTGGCAGTGTAGTGTTGGCAAACATGACAGAGAAAGTACCTGTCCTCCCGGAGGTTATAGGCAAGGGTGAAAAAGAGAGAGAACAGATAAACCAAGAGAGATTGTTGGGTGGTTCTCTGAGGGAATAAATAAAATCGCTTCAGAAGGTGAGAACGGCTCCGAAACAATAAGACGGGATGATTTGTGATAAAGAGAAACTGGGGGAGGGGTGGGGGGCCCTGGAGGGCAGGTCAGGGAAGCCTTGTGGGGGAGCCAACATGTAGATGAGATCTGGAGGCTGTCAAGGAGCCAGTCTGGCCAAGTCTTGCAGATGAAGATTCCAGTCAGAGGGAACAGTAGGGCCAGGAGGCCAGAACATTCTTGGCACGTGAGCTGCCCCCCGGAGCATCCTCTCCCTTCCATCTGATCTGTGTGGGAGACAGGCCTCTGGGGACTGCCTCACCTGGGTTTGCTTCCTTCTGGCTTCCAGCTAGTTCAGCCGGCGTGAGGTACCGATGGCGGATTGGAGGGCAGGAGGAGAGCGAGGGTGGGGTAGTTACCCCCCACGATCGCGGGGCCATGGTTTGGCATGGCTTTGTTCCTCCCCCCAAGGCCACAGCTCCTCCAGCTGCTGGTCTTGCACGTTCCAGTAACGCCGCTCCCACTGTGTGCTGTCAGCCCGATGGTGGTGACAGCTTCCCTCTGTCGCCAGGCCCTGGGTGCCTCACCCTTCCTCGCTAGGTCCCTTCACCCTGCGCACGTGTTTATAAATAATACTTCATTAAACCATCCTCATTTAACCATGTGAGAGTGCCCTTTGTCCTGCCAGGACCGTGAGCGGTCCAGCTGGTCCCGGGAGCTGTAAAGGTGTGGCTAGAGTGAGTGAGGGCAAGGTGCACAGGACAGGTAGGTGAGGCAGCGGGGCAGGAGGTGGGCATTTATCCACAGTGGGGGGAGACGTCTTTGCAGAGGGTTAAGCAGGGAGCCACATGATCCCATATACCTTTTTGGAACGGAATCAAAGCCGCTGACTAGTTTGCATCCCAGCATTCTTTTTCTATTCAGTTTAGCATCTGAGAAACACTGTTGTAAACAAACTCTGTCTCTTGGGTTTTTCCTCCCCCAAGAGAGCGTCCTCAATTTAGCAGTTAATATTGTGGAACGCCCTAAAGAGTGAGGCTGTATTTAAAGTCGGTGCCTTTGGTGGTGACAGTGATCGTGTGGGGGCTTACTCGAGGTAGGTGGCTTCTACCGTTCCATCTGCTACGAGACCCGTAATCTTGCTTTTGTAGTTTGAGGAACAGGACTTTTTACTGCTATGCGTGTAAAAACAAGATTGTAATTTTGGAAACAGGCCATTAAGCTGACAGGTAACTTTGCTTTATCATCCCTCAGACCCAAAAAGGGATGGTCTCAAAGCTCATCTGTGTGCTGATTAGTGGGATTACTCACGGTTAGTCATTTTTCTCTGTGCGTTTAACCGTAGCTGGCACTTTAATTTCCCTACAGCCGTAGAGGGAGGGACCTGGGTTGCTGTCTTGATATGTTTTTTCTCCTGCTTCATGTCTAGGATTATTTATCCTTTTTTGGTTCTCCACCAGGATCATCCTGAACATGGGGTCCTGTTTCTTGTTCGAGAGCTTCTCAACGTGATCCAGGACTACACCTGGGAGGACAGCAGTGATGATAAAATCCGCCTCTACACCTGCGTCCTGCACCTGCTGTCTGCCATGAGCCAGGAGACCTATCTCTACCACATAGACAAAGGTAGCAGGGTCCCCCTCACAGACCGCACGGTGCCTGAATCTCATGGAAGTCAAACGAGGTTTATTCCTTTCTCTTTGATTTAAACCCTCTTATGTTTTACTACCATGAACTTCTGGTCCAGGGTCTCGCTGAATTTTCCAGTGTAAACATTACCTGGGGCAGCTCTTCAGAATACAGATTCCTGAGCCCCATCCTGCTCAATCCTTCTCAGTTAGAATCCCCAGGAAGAGCCCGGAGAATGTATGTCTTTAACTAGCATCCAAGGTCATTTTGACCATCAGACGAGCTCGGAGAAGCTCTTTTGGATGGGTGCTCTCTTTGGTGTGCTACAGAATAACCTAGAAAGATGGTGAAATATACTCGTGCATGGGCTTCACCCCAGGCCTGTTCCTACGCGCAGGTGGGACCCTGGCCTGGGTCTTTTTCCCTGGTTCTCAGGTGATGCTGAGGCTCGTGAGCCCTTAGATCAGGGGCTCGGGAGGAAGGACATGGCCTTGTTCCCCCGCATCCCACCAGCCATTTTGAATTTGCTGCTGCGAGTTTGGGAGCAGCCTCCTCGTGTCCTGTAGGTAACATGGGACAGTCCCCATTCCAGACCTCTCCCCACTGAGCCTAAGCATCCCCCTGCATGTCACACCCTCAGTTCCAATTTTTGATTTCCAAAAAATGGCCCTATTGTTAAAAGTGCTTTGGCCAGTAATCGTATACTTTAGGGTTTAAGCAACGCTCTCTACACTTGGAAATTTCAGGGAACAAATCTGCAGTGCCAAGAGGTGACCTTCTGTCATAACTCTCAGAGGCTTTCCCTAGCTGGCCTTTGGGGGCTGATGGTAAAGATGTACCTTAGGGAGGCTGGTTGATATTGAGGATGATAGCTCCCATGATCTGAGCTCCTCCTGCGTGCCAGGGGCTGCACCAGACTCTGCGGGCCTCCTTCTCCTTTAATCCTTACAGCATCGCGACGAGGACAGGCATTCGTGTCCCCACGTTACCCACAAGGGAGACTCAAAAAGACAACGGGGTTTACCAACCACATGGTTTCAAGGGCTCACGGCCAGTTAGCGATGGAAGTGGAATTCACACTCGGAACTGTAGGACATACGTTATGTTGCCTCCTTGATTACAAAATAACAATGTTTTAATTAAAGCATAACCTATTACATACAGACAGTAAACTGTAAAGCGCAGTGACTGATCACAAAGGGGACACACCCAGGTAACTACCACCCAGAAAAGAAATCAAACATCACTGGTTCCCCAGAAGTCCCTTGTGTGCCCACTTCCAGTCAGCACCACCACTTTCCCCTCTAAAGGTCCCCCACGCGCCTGACTTCTAGCATTTAGTTTGCCAATTTAGTTTAGCAAATTAGTTTGCCAGTATTTTATCTTTAGGTCGCTGGACTCATTTAGCAAGTGTTCTTTGGTATCTGGCTTCTTTCACTCAGTATTATGGTTGGGAGATTTTTCTATGTTGTTGTGTGTAGCTGTGGTTCATCCTTTTGCATTGCTGTATAGTATTCCATTGTGTGACTACACTAGAATTTATTCATTACCTTATGGATGGACATTTGCATGTTTCCAATTCCAGCTCTGGGCTATTATGAGTAGTGCTGCTATGAACGTTCCTGAATATGTAATTCTTGGTGTACATTTCTGTTGGGTATCTGCCTCAGGGTAGAATTGCTGGATTTCATTGGATTTGCTTATGTTTAGCTTTGGTAGATACAGCCTCACTGTTTTCCAAAATGGTTATACCAATTGAACTCCCACCTGGCGTGAATGAGAGTTCCATCTGCCCTTGGTGTGGTCAGTCTTTTTCATTTTGGCTATTCTGATGGGTGTAACTTGCATTTCTCTGATGGCTAATGAGGTTGAGCACCTTTCCCTAAATTTGTTGGCATTCTTATTTCCTCTTTTCTGAAGGGCACATTGAGGGCTCTCAACAGTAGAGAAACCTTTGAGGACCAGACGCCGACGTGGAAGTGGGTCTGTAAACCATAGGCTCTGTCAGAGGAGCAAGCCCTTTCCTCTCACCTGCCGTCTCCTCTCTCATCTCTTCCTCAGGCAGATTCACTTGATCCTCAGTCTACACCATACAGCCAGGGCCGACTGTGGGAGCCAGAGTGCCAGCAGAGGGAGTCCAGCTATGTTTGATCGGTGGGAGACGAGTTTTCTAGCTTTCAGAGATGAAAACAGAAGGATGGGATTTCTGTTCCTTCTTCTTGGCCCAGCTGTGTTTACTCTGGATGCACAATTGTGACCTGCCAGTTGTCTCAGTGGGAGAGAGGCCCAGGGGGCGGCGGGAGGCTCTGCAGCGGCTGGGCTTCCATTTTCCCATCCCTTCTTATTCTAGGCAGCCTTTTAGACGGTGTTCACACGGGTTAGAACTTCTGCAAGACTGGAGTCAAATATTTTGTGCATTTACAAAGGATGCCTTGGCTGCTGTCTTTGCAGATTAATAAGAAGAGAACGTTCTGAAATTACCTGGAGCAGTAAATCCTGTGCTTTCATGCGAGTGTGCGAGAGCGTGTGTGATGTGCAGGGAAGATGTCCCCTACACGGAATGTTGGTTTATTTACTCTGCAGATAGCGTGTATCTGATGGGAAGAGCAAAACCCCGGATGCTCTGGGAAGCCAGCGTAGCCCCTTACTCCTCCACGTCACCTGCCTGGCCCTTGAAACATTCGGGCTTGTGACCCCAGCGCCAGACAGATGCAGGGATCGTGGGCTATTTTTAGTGGCCATTTGCCTGGGCTGTCATTTCTCCCGTCGTGAGCGCCACGTGTGGACTCTCAGGCGCACTCCACTCTCCAGCCTGGCCACCTTCCTCCTAATTCTCAAATTCACCCGCTGCTCCCTCCCTCCGTCACCAACGAGTCTTAGCATGGAGACTCGTTTCCTCCCTGCTGACTCCCTTGTCCACTTCCTCTGGTGAATTCAACCTGTCAGGCTCAGCCTGGATCTCACCAATTCCAGAATTCCATCCCAAGCCTGGATCCCATAACCCCACGTGGGGGTTAGGATCCTGTAACCCCCATACTGCCCCTCCCGACAGTCAGCACACACTACTGCGATGGCCTGTTTGCTCGTCCGTCTCCTGATAGACTGTGAGCTCCGCGAGGGCAGGCACCAGGTTGGTCTTGTTCCCACTGGCTCCCCAGCTCCTAGCCCAGAACCTGGTGCAGAGCAGGCCCTCATCCACTAGGTGCTGTGTGTGAGTGTGTGCATGCGTGCATGCACGCAAGCGAGCAAGTGAGCAGCCTGCTCTGAACACAGCTCGGGCCCCTCCGGTCAGGAAGCCTGCAGCTTGGGTGGTTGGCCACCGGTGGTCCTGACCGTGTTTTTCCTCCAGTGCTGAGGCTGATCCAACCGAGAGTAGATTCCAACCCGCAGTGAGACTGGGCGTTCGTGCCGGGAACCGTCCTGGTCCTCAGCAGTAGACGTGAGAAATTCTTTCACCAGCTGCAGGTTGCCGCCTGCAACATCAGGGGGTGGTAAATGGCCGAATCACATTATTCTTTGGCTTTTAAAAGAATAACTGTCATCTTCTGCGTGGTGGATAGCAGTCACGACACAGCAGCCAGAGCCAGAGCTGTCGTAGGAACCCGGGGATGGACCCGGTGGCCCAGGGCTGCTCACTACCAACCTGGTGTCAGAGGAGCAGTTGCAAAGCCAGCAGCTGGCCTGGGAAAGTCTCCCCGGAAGAGTCCGCATAAACGGGCAGTGCAGAGGTGATCAGAGGCGACCTGCGGACAGAGAGGCTGGGGCAAGGAGACCAGCTGTTCTCATTCTCAGGCAGTGTGTCTGCAGCCGGCTTACAGATGTTCAGCCAAGAAAAATTCTGTGTATATATGTCTGTATGTGTGTGTGCTGTAGAGAGAGCTTGCACAGAAGTAGCAAATGGAAACAACTGGTGATTCTAGGTGAGAGTTAGGCAGGTATTCAATGTGCTGTTTTTCCTCCTTTTCTATAGCCTTGACATTTTTCAAAATAAAAAGCTGGGAGAAAAAGAAGAATGAGGAGTTATTATTTTTGAAATACCAACCAGAAATGTATATAAAGCATCCCTGAAATTATCTTATCAGTTAATTACTATATGCTTATACCTGTCCCATTCCCCAAAAAGATTCAAGACAGATTACAGGAAATATGTAAAATAATGAAATATTTTTTAAATTAAAAAAATTGGTAATTAGGAAAGATATGGATATAATATATATGTGTTGTGTGCTACATATGTAGGGGCTCTACTATGTATACTGTTTTGTCACTTTTTTTATTAATATATATTGTAACTATCTTTCAGTAATAGTATATTGTAGCAGTGCTATAGTGGAGTAGATGGTAGTTAACCCCTATAGATCATACGCTTTTATTGTCTTCGTAGTATTTTATTTAATGCTGCACCACAGAGCATTTAGTCAAAACTGCTGATAGACATTTACATTGCTTTTCCTCTCACCATTATAAACAACAGTTTATAATGAACATACATTGAACATATAATGAACATTGTTATTTATAATGAAACGATCAACATCACGCACATGCATCTTTGTGCGTCGGTTGGATTATTTTCTTGGGATAAATCCCTTAGAGTGGTTTTCCCAAGTCAAAGATCTGGACTTCTTTTCTACGAAGACTTTTTTTTTTTTACATTTTTTTGTTGGTAAAATATACATAGTGAAAAAATATGTATAACATACAGTTTACTATTTTAAAATAATTACTTTTAAGTGCACAATTCAGTTTTATCAAGTATATTCACAATGTTATGCAACCATCACCACTATTCGTTTCCAGAATTTTTTCATCATCCCAAACAAACTGTACCCAATAAACAATAACTTCCCATTCTCCCCTCCCTCTAGCCTCTGGTGACCTCTGTTCTACTTTCTGTCTCTATGAATTTGTCTGTTCTTGGTACCTCATAGAAATGGAATCATACAATATTTGTCCTTTGTGTCTGGCATATTTCACTTATCATAATACTTTAAAGGTTCATCCCTGTTGTAACATGTATCAGAATTTCATTCTTTTTCATGACTGAATAATATTCCATTGTGTAGATATACCACATTTTGTTTATCCATTCATCTGTCAATGGACACTTGGGTTGTTTCCACCTTTTGGCTATTGTGAATAATGCTGCTGTGAACATTCTTATACAAGTGTCTGTTTGAGTCTCTGCTTTCAATTCCTTTGGGCATATACCTATATTGGAATTGCTGCATCATATGGTAGTTGTATATTTAACTTTTCGGGGAACCACCAAACTTTTCCACAGCAGCTGCACCATTTTATATTCCCACCAACAGTGCACAAGGATTCCAATTTCACCACATGTTCATCGACACTTCTTGTTTTCCCTTTTTTTTTAATAATAGCCATCCTAATGGGTGTGAAGTCATACTAAACATTTTTTAGGCTTTTCTTACCTATTTCTACACTATGAGATTCCCACCAATAGTTTTCCCAGACCTACATCAGAACCACATATTATCATTCTTTCTCACCTTTGTGAATCTGATAGGTGATTTAAAAAGAAAGTTCTGTGGTTTTAGTTTTCTGTTCTTTGATTATTAGTGAAGTCAAACTTTTTCTTTTTCATAAAATTATAGGCCAGACAAACGTATTTCTGATGCATTGATATTGATGTATTTGCCAGTTTTCCTACTAGTGACCCTGATAGGAAGTCACTTTCTTAGAAGCTCAGAGCCATCCCTGCACGTTGTGCCTTGGCTTTTCTTGTCTTCGTGGCCATTGTCTGTGGAACATGATCCCCTGGTTCGGTAGCTTGTCGCCAATGGTGTGATGAGTATTTCTATGCAGACACTGATGGACAGCTTGTGACTTTCACCACGATGGGGCTGTGCAGTGTGGCTCTCACTCTAGGGCTCACTCGTCTGCAAGCTAAACCACATGCCATTTGTCCCTTGCTTGTGCTGTCACCGCTTGTTTGCATTACACAACGTCACAGGCCTGGCTGTGTTCTCATAAATATCTTCTCTTCTAAGGAGACCATATTCTTAGATAGGGACAGTGATGAATGCTCTTTAATTGGGCCGAGAAGAGCACAGCAAATTACATTCCAGCAGATAAGCTAAACTGAACCCGGTTTATTAAAAGTGTCCCTAAACCACAAACTGGATTAGCACTGTGTGCATGTGGCCACGTGTGCACAGCCACACCCTCCGCGGCACCGGCACGGCCCCTGGTTTATCAGGTGCCACTGCACCTGGGACAGGGGCCCAGATGTTAGACCTCTGCCCGATGAGAAGCTGCCTCCTCTTGACCACTTAGCACTGCGGGTGCTCCACTGAATTGGGCTCCTCCTACGAGAGAGCGCCGCTTCTTCACACCAGGTTCAAAAACTATGCTCTGCCACGTACAAGTCAGCATTTGGGAGTTGGAGTGAAAGCAGCTAAAAAAGGATCTGGCGAGAAAAGGGGTGTGAGCTCATGTCGGTGTGGAGGGAGCGAATCGACTCTGCAAGGCAGTAGTAGTGGTTTCATTACGGGCTCTAAGACTTTGCAGCAGCCTGGCCCTGTCCCCCGCCCCCAAAAAAACCATAAAAGAAAAGAAAAGAAACAACGGAAGTGTTGTGGTAGGGACAGCTACATCCCCTCTGGTCCGTCCTCCGGCAGAGTACCGTTCAGCTGTCCCAGAGCAGCAGGTCTGTATATGCTGATACGGAAATAGCACCGAGTATATCATTACGTGACAAAAGCAAAGGGCAGAACAGCACCCGGTGTGGGCTCTCTCCCTCCTCACCCGGAGCAGATCACGCTTGGTGCGAGGGTCGGTCTATAGGAAGGAAGGAGGGAGGGAGGTCAAGGCCGGGCTCTCCTTGCTGGCTGGTCTGACTCTAGGCAGTGGCTGTCACAGGAGGTGCCCAGGCAGAGAGCAAGGGACCTTTTGGCGAGAGATGTTGTCAGAGGGATTCAAGTTGGCGAGTGGAGAGAGAGAACGTTACGGTCCATCCGCGGGCGTTTTGAGGAGGGTGACAGGGCAGGCAGTGGGCGCAGTGCTTGACAGCTTAGGCTTCGGAATGAGACTTCCGGTTTGGGGGCCTAGCTGCGACCACCTCTGGGCCTCAGTTTCCCCACCCGTCAAAGGGGATGTTGATGTCATCTCTTTCACGTGCTGGTTACGAGGACTCCACAGTAACACGTGCAAAGGCACAGCCCAGTGCCCAGCACCCAGGGGACACTCAGTATGGGCAGCTGCTCTGACGGTCACTGTGTGCTCACTGCCCGTCCACGCCTGGGCCGCAGGGGGCATGACTTCCACACCCCTGGTCTCTGGCTCCCACTGTCCAGAAGGCCGGGTGTTTTCTCTGTGATTCCCAAGGCCCCAAGCCCAGTGGGAAGTTCTGGCTGTTTCCACCTGCCCTGCTGTGATTCCCTGCCATCTGCTGACAGCATGTGCCGCGCGCCTGCCTCTCCCTGGCCAGCACGGCCCTGGCCTGGGAATGTCTCACTGCTCTGGTTTGTTCCCTCAGTCGACTCCAACGACAGCCTCTACGGGGGGGACTCCAAGTTTCTGGCTGAAAACAACAAGCTGTGCGAGACGGTGATGGCTCAGATCCTGGAGCACCTGAAGACTCTGGCCAAGGACGAGGTAGGTGCCCTCTGCCGTGCCCTCCCTGCCGCTCGCTCTGAATGCATGAGTTTCCAGGGTGCTTGGACATTGGTTCATTCCGGAAAGGAAACTCCTTCATGTGAAGAATGTGTTGATGTGCAGACCGGTCATCGCGTGCTGCAGGGCCTTTGCTCCTGCTGTTTTCTCTGCCTGCAATGCGCCTCCCCAGGGTTCCCCTGGCTGCTCCTCCTCATCCTTCGGGTCTCAGCTCAAAAGTACCTTCTCAGAGAGGCCTGCCCTGACCCCCGTGTTCAGTAGCCACGGCCCTCCTGCATCCCTCGGTATCGTCCCTGTAACACTTGGTCATTTGCTGAAATGCTCTGTGAGTAGGTTTGCTTGTCAGTTGCCTGGCTCCCCCACCAGAATGCACGCTCCATGGAGTCCAGGACCTCGAGACAAGTCTTGGAGACCTGCCTGTGCCTGAGACGGTCTCTGGGGTCCACGTGTCACTCACCGCAGCATCCCCACCTCCAGCAGAGCCTGGCAAACAGCGAGTGCTCAGTCACTGCTTGTTGAATATATAGTAGCCTGTGCTCTCCACACCTCAGCTCTTTCAGTGCCCACATCAACCCTGTGAGGTGTGGGTGCTGTGTCTGTTCTCAATGGACAGAAAAGGAGACTGAGGCTCAGAGAGGTTTCTCCAGAGCCCCCGGTTCCCTCTGGTTGTGGGAGAACATCAGGGTTCCCACCCAGATCCCCAAGCCTGAACTCTAATTACTGCATTGTCCTCCTCATCAGGGCCTTCCCGCTTGTCTTTTCAGAAGTGGCATACGGTTATTTTTCCAGCCTTTACTGTACATAAGTGTGGTGTTGAGAACTTTGCACGTATTATCTCATCTAAAATCACAACAGTCCAGTGAGGTGGGAACAGCTCTTGCCCCTGAACACTTTCCACACGAGGAAACGGAAGCCTCAAGTGGTGGCTATGGCACACGGTCAAAGCAAGCTTCTAGAACCCATGCTCTTATCCACAAAATAGATTTCTACCAGATGTTGCATCTTTTGTGTTTTCAGAGCAGTTTTTCCATAGTCTCCATATAGTTAGATGATTGACTGATTTCAATACACTTTTCACATAGTACAATCTATAACTACCTGGTTCCCTTCCCCAGTTATGCCGACCGCAGCCTCCATTTTTGCAGCATCAGCCCAAACACGTGGGTGACGGATGGATCCCAGAGTCCCCGTCTCAGGCTTGGCGGGGACGTTGGTTGTTCAGACATTGTGTGACTGCTGTCGTTGTAGTCAAGGTGGGGGGTGGCAGGGCCTTAGGAGTCAAAGCTGGTGCCTGACCTTTTCTCTGCGTCCTTCCCCTGGGTCGGCTGGAGCCTGGCTTGCTTTCTGCCTCCACGTGCCCCCTCCCCGCCAGGTCTTGCTCTTCACTGCTCAGCTGTCTGCTTGAAGCTCTGAGCACTGGATTGTTTTATTCCCACCCAGCAAGAGACAACCTGATGGCTCCTTCCTGATCCCATCCTGGCAGGCCCCTGTTTTCTCTCACTGTCCTCCCCCTCAGTTCCCTTTACCAAACCCAAGACAGATTTGGGACAGCTGGGTTCCCAGTGGCTTCTGGCCCTCCCCTTCCTTCCGGAGCCCTCCATCGCTTCCCTTCCCTAGATCGCTTTCCCAAACCTGGAGTTTCTCATTCCTGGGTTTGGCTCCTACAGCCCCACCCCACCAAATAAAATAAGCTCAAACTGGATTAAGTTTAACTCTTAAGTCATTTCCAGGACTGTATACAGTACCTCCACTGCCCGTATCCTCCTCCCCCTCCCCACCAAAACCCACAAGAAGAGTCTATAGCTGCGGGTGTACACATGCATGACACGCATATGTCCTGGCTTCCCTCCTCCCAGGGTTTTCAAGCAGGTGCTGGAGAGAGGGAGATTTTTCCTGGACTTCATTCCGCAGTGGCCTCTGCTGAGGTCAGGGGCACTGCCTGAAGGGCAGAGGAAAACTACAGAACTGCTCTGCCCTGGGGGCCCTGCGGGAGGGTGCCTCTCAGGGAGAGGATGGATGGGAGGGAGGATGTGTGGTGTGCCCCCCACCCTGGGGGCCCCGCTGGGTGCAGGGCTGCAGAACTCTGGGAGCTGATGCAGCGAGGGCACTTGGCCATCCGTGGAAGGGGCAGTGCTAGAACCCAGTTTCTTTAGGAGCTGGTTTCTCAGCCAGGTGTATTAGAAGAGACAACTCCCCTCCCGCCACCAAGAGGCCTTTTGCAAACGCTCTCTGGGGTTAAAGACCCAGCTTCGTCTCAGTGTAGGTGGCTTTTGGAAGAGCCCTTTCTTCCCTCCAGGGGAAATGGAGGCCTTCACCTTCAGCCTGCACTTGTTACACTGTTAGAACCCCACTGCTCCCCCTGCCGTGAAAAATTCTTCGCCCCTCTCCCTGATGCTTAAAACCATTGGCTCTGGCTCCAGCTTCTCGCCCAGACCCCTTAGAGCCGTGCTGTGTGTTGGACAGGTTGCATCCCAGAAATGGGCCGTGTGGTTTGAAAATAGCGTTTCTTCACTCTGATGCAACAGGCCCGTCTAATCAGAGCTGGCCACTGACAGCCTAAGTGACCATGGCCTTGAACCCCCAAGCTCACCCTAAAAAAGCCCGGAACCATATAATTTGGAACTATTTTCATTTAACGTTTGGCTCTTTTTCTCTTGGGGGAGGGGGCGTTGACAGTGATAATGACTCAAACAGAATTCTGAAAGAACAGCAAAGCTGGAATGTTTCCTTAGGATATTTCAACTCGCATACGTAGCAGGGACGTTCACTGAGAATGTCTGTCCATGTATGCACATTTATTAGAAAAAGATGGGCGGACGGAGCTGAAATGGAACGTCAGCCTTCATTTTAACAATGTGACGTGAAATTCAGCACAGGTGACCACGACTGGCAGGGGCCTCAGAGGGTGGAGTCCTGGAGTCTGGGGCCAGCTCTCTCTCCGCCTGCTGGGGAGCGAAGCTTCATGCTGTTGGAAAACCCCAGGGCTGATGTCGTTCTTGAGTGTCTCAGCTTTTGGCGCTGGTATTAGCAGCTCTGCTTCCAGAATTGTCCTCTGAATGCACGTGCAGGAGCCAGCCCTGTTTTAATCGCGAGCTTTACGGAGTTGTTTGTTTGGGTGTGGTGGAGCTGGGAACCATGCCAGACCCTTGGAGCTTCCTGGAAATGACAATTCTCAAAGGAAAAGAATGAAAAGAAGCTCTTTTCTATTTAAAATCTCCGTGGAGAGAGGAGGGGGCTTGAGGCCCTGATTTGGTTCTCTCCTAACGCATGCGTGGTTTTCCAGGTCTTTGCATATTGGCTGGCATGCTTTCTCATCCCTCAGACCTGTCTCTAATGATTTCATTTTTAATAAGCAGTGCATTTAAAACACAGGGGAATTGAGCTTTTTAGGGAAAAATGCTTATTGAGAAGATACAAAACCGAGAAATAGCCAGTTAGATGTTGTCTTCCTTGTTTGACTTTTTGAAAATCTGTCCCACTTCAATGAAATGTAGTTAAAGGGCCTCTCTCAGAGGGGATTCTTCTGGTTGGATTTGAAATAGAATTTTCTTTTAGCTTGGTCCTCTAGATCTAAGCAGAAAACGGGCCCTCCTGGTCTCCCAGGCGTGAGATGAGGGCCAGTTTAAAAGACGAGCAGAATGGGCTGGAACCCTGAGTGGTGATCTCTGCCCAGGTTCCTGATTGGAGCAGAACCGCATTGTCCGGTTCCGGAAAGGAACCTGAAGCAGGCAGCCACCAGCCGGCTAATGAGTCCATGCCAGGCAGGTGCCCCAGCTGCTTGCCTCAGCTGCTTCTGTGACTGTCACCTGGTCCAGGCCGTTGCCAAGGCAGGTTCAATTTGGGGGAGCCCGAGTCTCTTCGTTGTTACTCAGCTACCCTCACCCAACTGCCTTCAAAGCTGCTCCTTGGCTGTTTTCTTTTCACCCCCTCCACTAAAGACTTTAAATTCTCACTCGGGAGAGGATGGCAGGTGGTGAATACGTTGGCTCAGCCATTAGCATAGAGCCTGCCCCTTGGTAGGCTCCACACGAAATATCTGTGGGATGATGGACAGTGGACGGAAGGATGGATGAGTGGGAGGTGGGTTGGTTTTATCCCCCTAGAGTAGTTGAGAAAAGCAGGAAAAAATGTTTTTTCTAAACCAAATCAAACCGTTCCTACTTCCCTGGATGAAACGGTGCAGCTCCAGTCGGCAGGCTGCGTCGGGCAGATCTCTCAGCCTCTTCAGAATTTGGCTTCTTAATGTGGCGCTGACCGTGGGTCCGTGGGAACATCTTATAAACTGGGGTGGGACAGGGAGGGCGTGGGTGCAGGCGTAGGCTCCGGAGCTCGCATCCCTGCTGACTTGGCAGCTGTGGTCCTTGAGCAAGTGCCTGAAGCTTTCTGAGCTGCAAGGGCCTCATCAGCAAAATAGGAGTGTGTTGGTTTCCTATTTTGGCCTTAGCAAATTGCCGACAACTTAGGGGCTTGAAACCTAGCATTATTATCTCCCAGTTTGGGAGGTCAGAAGTTGGTGTCAGCTGGGCCTGTTTCTCTGCTCCGGGTTTCACAAGGCCAAAATCAAAGTGTTGACTGGCTAGGCTCTTATGGGGAGACACTGGGGTGAATCCACTTCTCAGGCTCATTCAGGGTATCAGCAGACTTCAGTTCCATGTGGTTGTAGGACTGAGGTCCTGTTTCCTTGCTGGCTGTTGGCTGGGGGTTGTTTTCAGCTTCTAGAAGCCCCCTGCATTTCCTGGCACTTGGCCCCTTTCTTCCATCTTGAAACCCAGCAATGGTGGGTCTCGTCCTTCTCATGCTTTGAACCTCCCATCTCCCCTTCCAGCTCGTCTTTCCCCTTCCAGCTCGTCTTTCCTCTTCCGCTGCCTGTCTCTGACACCAGCCTGAGAAATGTCTCTGCTTCTTAGGGCTCAAGTGATTAGATTGGGCCCACCCAGATAATCTGGGATTACCTCCCTAAGGTCATAACCTTAATTACATCTGTGGAGTCCCTTCACAGCAGCACCTGGGTTAGTGTTTGAATAACCAGGGGTCAGGAATCCTGGGGGACAGTTCTAGAATTGTGCCTACCATAGGGGGTTAGAAATGTACCTCCCACAGAGTTGTTGTGAAGACTAAATGAGATGAGTCGTGTAAAGCACAGAGCATGATCCCTGGCACCCTGTGAGGGCGCTGTACCCGTTAGCTGCCAGGGAGCAGAGCAGATGCACGAGGCTCCCGGCAGCACTGATGTTCTGCAGGGCCAGCCAAGAGCACCCAGCAAGGGCCTGGGGCGTGGGCTCTCCAGGGTCCACACAGACTTGTGATCTGACCTGGCCCCCTGGTCATGCCACCTGTTGACTTGGCCTTCCCAGGTGCCTGTGTTTACCTTTGGGCACCTGTATTCCTTCTCCTGGGGTGGTGTTGCGTTTTGGAGATTTGTTTTCCCCCGTGTCTTCACCATTCAGAGCTGGGGTCCAGGTTTGGTCTACCCTGATGTTTTGGTTAGACTTTTCTTGTTTGGGTACCTCTCGGATTATTGAGCAGGAGAGGAAAGACCTGGTGTCAGAGTGTAGAATGGCTCCTGTAAAAGCTGGGCACGGGCACCGAGCACCGGGAGCGTTGTCTGTGGAGGAACCGTCGTTCAGTCCTTGTTACCAGCACCCAAAGGGGGGAATAGTGACCACAACTTTGGGTGGCTTGAGGACTCATCTGGAAGGGACGTATTTTAGCCTTTCACTTTCCACTTGTACTTGCATTAAAGCTGGTTGCTGCTGGGTTGTTTCATTCCTTGACCCCGCTGAGTGATGGGGCTCATGGAAGTATCACTCGCTTCTGCTCCCCCATGGTGAGCAGTGCCGGTGTGGGGGGCACAGAGCAGAGGGCTGCACACCCATCACCTCGTTCAGTCCACACTTACCCTGTGAGTTGCTGTCACCTTACTTTCCTCCTATACAGATGGGGAAGCTGGGACCCGGGGAGGTTAAGCAGCTTGTCCTGCAGAAGATCCCTGGTCAAGCTGCATTTGAACCCAGGTCAGCGCCAACAGTGGGCCGGCCTGAGCCCCAGGGCCACATGCTCACCTCTCTCTCCTGTTTCAGGCCCTGAAGCGCCAGAGCTCGCTGGGCCTTTCCTTCTTTAACAGCATCTTGGCCCATGGGGACCTGCGCAACAACAGGCTCAACCAGCTCTCCGTCAACCTGTGGCACCTGGCACAGAGGCATGGCTGTGCGGACACCAGGACCATGGTGAGACCCTCGAGGGCCCCTCGCCAAGCCCACGAAGCACGGGGGTCCTGGCCAGCCACACAAGCCCACATCTGCTGATGCTCAACACAGCATGAGGGCCTGGACATCAGAGAGGCCCAATCGTCCCTTCTAGAAAGGCGCCAGGCCCAGGATTTCTGCAGGGTCACTTCCTTGCGCTACACAGTATAGTATTAAAAGCTTATTCTCTCTGAATAAAAGCCACACATATAAAAACACAGTCATTCCTGGTCACACCCAAACTGATATTAAGGGCAAGCTATAATCTAAGTTTTATTTAAAGATTTTGCTGGGGGCCGGCCCAGTGGTGTAGTGGTTAAGTTTGTGCACTCCGCTTTGGTGGCCCGGGGTTCGCAAGTTTGGATCCCAGGTGTAGACCTACACACCGCTCATCAAGCCATGCTGTGACGGTGTCCCACATACAAAATAGAGGAAGATGGGCACAGATGTTAGCTCAGGGACAATCTTCTTCAAGCAAAAAGAGAAAGATTGGCAACAGATGTTAGCTCAGGGCGAATCTTCCTCACCAAAAAAATAAATAAAGACTTGGCTGGTTTCTTCCCTTCCCTTATCATTCAAAAGACTTTACCTGTGCTCTGCTTAAAAGAAAGCATAAGCTCACAATATGGCCGATTTGTTGTGGAGCCTTGGTGTCCAAGGAGAGAGAGTTACGAACCAGAAAGGAGAGATGGATCTTTCTTTTTCCTCCTAGGTGAAAACCCTGGAATACATCAAGAAGCGAAGCAAACAAGCAGATATGGGTCATCTGACTGAGCTGGCCCTCAGACTCCCTCTGCAAACGAGGACCTGACCGCAGGCCCGTCCCCAAGGCCACGCCCAGGGGCTCTGGTGTGAAGTCCAGAGAGACCTACTTTGCTTTTTTATTTTATTTTTACACATATACAAATTGGTTTAAGCTTTGGCCTCTCCCCAGATTATTCTAACAGTGAAGAAGTGGGACTTGTCAGAGCATTAAAATCCAAGCTTGTGCACCGAGCAGCAGCATCTTAGTGATTCTTTGCACAAGTGGCCTTCAGATGGGCCTTTAGTGAGAAACAGAAGAATGCAAGTAACATTTCTTTTCTGGAAGGTGTCTGCTTTTTTTATTGGAAAAAGATCCTTGAAAGCAGTCCACTTCTAAGGAGCCACTGTTCTCTCTCCCTAATTTGAGGGCCTCAAGTCTGGAATTGAATGTTGCCTAAGCCACCTTGGAGAATTTATAAAAGGCAGATGGCTCAAGTAACTCCTTTTCCTATCAGAGCAGCTCCTGATTGGACTTAGAAGAGGTTGGTGGATTGAAGGAGAAAGCGAGGTCGAATCTGAGATTCCCTGTGGCTTTAGGGGAAAGTATACTGTAACTGAATAAACCTCCTGAAGGCATGTTTATGTTCCTCACTGTTCATTTAATTCCTTCTGACGCTCTTCATCCAGAAGGGAACGTGTCTAAACATATTGCCTGGTTTGCTTTGCACTATAATTCTAAACAGCATGTGACTACCTTTTTCACCACCAGTCTGGTGGAGTCGGACTCACTCTGAATCTTGTGTTACCGCTCGTGAGCTTCCAGTGACATCTGATTTTGAATCAGGGCATTAATATAGATTGGTGGTGACTCACAGCCTAGAGCTCCTCGCTCAGGAAAATGCATCCAAGTCGTGGATAAAAATGCCCCCAAACTATTGTACTTTTGGAAGCTATACACTGGACAGGGATCCCATCTCATCTCTACCCTGTGAGACGCACGATTTCAGTTCACCTAACCTCAGTACAAGTGGCGAAAATAATTTTTAAAAATAAACTCATATAAACTCATGTTTTAACTGAATAGTTTAGGACCAAGAATATGGTATGGATTTTCTGGCCAACTTAATAGTGGACACCACCGCCCCCCTCTCCCCCCGCCACCGGAATTCTGTTAAGAAAATGCCTCCATTAAAGAACAGCAGGTACTGAAGAATGCCCCTTTCCCCCCCTTAACTGAACAGAACATAAAGAAATTCAGAAAGCATGGTAGCATTGCTCAAATATTCCCAAGTGGCCTTTATTTCACAAAATTATTTCCATTAACATTATTTCATATACCACTTTTACTATATGATACTATTTAAGTGAAAAACAATGGGCAAATTCACAAATTATGTGCTTCAGGTCATTTCTTCTACTTTGAGGCTGTACATATCAGACAGCATTAGCTCCCGAGCCTGAGTGAGTGAACTCTTAATACTCTTACACTAACCTGAACTTGGACCTTCACGTTAGGTCAGGTAAACATTACACCAAAGGAGATTCTGCACTATCCGCTGCCCAGCCCAGGCAGAGGCTTAGAGGTTCTGCTTGTGAGGTCTTCCCCAGCCCTTTACTGTCAGTTAGCAGTCTTTGAAAACGACGCCTACACAGGATTAAGTCTTCTGTCATTACAAAGGATGACGGAACAATAAAAAAATCCATGAATTTTAGGAAATAAGGTAAAAATGAGGAAAACTGCATGAGACCTGTATTAAGTTCTCTATTGCTGCTTTAACAAACTACCACAAACTTAGTGGCTTAAAACCACACAATTTTATCTCCTCACAGTTCTATTGGTCAGAAACCCATCTGGTCCTAGTTGGCTTACCTCCAAAATGAAGGTGTCCGCAGGCCTGCATTCCTTCCAGAGGTTCTAGGGGATAATCAGTTTTCTGGCCTTTTCCAGCTTCTAGAGGCCACCTGCATTCCTTGGCTTGTGGCCCCTTCCTCCATCTTCAAAACAGCTGTCCAGTCTTGCTTACAAGTCTCTGACTCTTCTGCCTCCCTCTTCTACATTTAAAGACTCTTGTGATTAGATTGGGCCCACCAGATAATCCAGGATAATCTTAAGGTCAGCTGATTAGCAACCTTAAATCCATCTGCTCCCTTAAACTCCCCTTTGTCTTGTATCCTAACATATCCACAGGTGCTGGTGATTAGGATGGGGACATCTTTGGGGATGGGGGACATTATTCTGCTGATCACAACGCTGAAGAGTTCTAAGTTTGTAGAGCTGAATACACAATTTCTTTTAGGGGAGAACTGTCTATTTGGCAAATATTTTGACAGGCCAGTCTACTTGTGGAAAGGTGGCCGCAGGGCAGGGCCTAGTGGGCTAAAGCAGAGACAGCAGAAATCCCCCTAAGGAATATAGTGGTTAAGAATCATGAGGTTTAGGGGACAGCTGGACAAGGGCAATTGTAAGGCAGGAAGGGCCCTGCCATAGAAGGAGGGTCAGTCAGTGAGAAATCCCCAAGGGAGAAAAAGCAACAAGTTTGACAACAGGGTCGTTAAATATTCAACTAAGACCTTGGTCCTGCTGGATGCCAGACCTCCCCTGCCCATCTCTCCGACACTCAGTAAAAATCCAAAGCTTCTAGGCATTCAGATGCCCTCTTCCATTATGTATCTCAGGGTTGAATCCGTGAAAGGCCAAGTTCACGTTCTGAGGGAAGCAGGCCACCCGAGTCACTGCTACCGCAGATTTGTAGAACTCTTGACCTGACCAAGCTGTTGGTCAAGACCCGGGCAGGCCTGCCTCACCTCTGCCCAGTGGGGCAGTAGTGGACCCCACGTTTGTCTCACTAACATCCACTCCTCACTCTTCCTTCCTGACTGGCCTGAGGAAAATTTTGCTCCACATGCCAGAGGCTGGGTCAGGAATAGGCATATGACCCATTGCTGGGCAGAGTTATGACGCAAGGTCTCTTGAGGGGTTTCTGGAAGTTTCCTTGAGCCACAAGGTTTTTCTTCTTCTGTAATGTTCTAGTGTCTCGATATGCTGTCTTGAATTGCTACAGTCATCTTCCACCAGCCTGATGAAGCCAACACTGAGAATGATGGAGCAGAGAGGTAAAGAACGTTTCCTTGGTGAGCTGCTGAATCAACCCTCTACATCAGGACTTCCTGCCATGTGAGATTGAATTTCCTGGCTGATGAGGCCTGCCTGAGATGGGATATTTGTAGGAGGCATTCAGACCAAGTGATATGAAAATGTCCCAGTCAGAACCTATATTTTAGGAAGCAAAATGCCAGGTGAATGGAGAGAGGGTGGTCACATGTCACTCAGGCCATTGCACCTGGGGCTCTGAGAGGCTGGCTGGAGTCCAGGCTTAGAAACATTGTCCCTACAGCTGATGAGGCAACTTCCTGTGTCATCCCCACGTGTCCATGCTTCCTTTCACTCAACCTCCCCCACAGAAGTCACCTCGGATTCTCTTCCTTGTGATTGATTGAAACTTACCTAATCAACACATCCCTGGGGATTGCCCATTGGAGAACTGCTTTCTAAACCACCATGTCCAGAATCCAGTTAAAGGAAAAAGATTAAATCCAAGCTCAGCACTGGGGGTGGAAGGCAGGCAGCTGGAAAAGGCAAGATTTGTTTAGAAACACATTTCCCAGGAGCAGAGGAAGCTCAGCAACATCTGCTTGATAGCAATTCAGTCACCTCTTTGCCTGCAGCTACGTTAAGACGGGGAAGGGAAAATGAGCTTGCTCATCCCCTTTATCACCAACTCTGCTTCTGTTTGTTTGGGATTCAGACACGTAATAAACTTCTGTTTCTTCAATCAAGAGTTTAATCCCCAGTGAGTATTCCAGGGATTACTAGAGGGGGCGTTCAGAGTAGTGAAGAGTGACGTAGGGCGTGGGGTACAAAGCACAACAGCTGGCACTTACTGGCTGGGTGACCCCAGGCAATTTTATTACTTCCTCCCTGAACCTCAGTTTCCTCATCTAGAAGATGGGGATAATAATAGCACCTGTTTCATAATTATGAAGATTAAATACGTTAATGCAAGGGAAACACTTCAGTATGTGCCTGGCACATACCGAGTCCTCCACAAGTCTTAGCTGTTATTATTTATACACGCTGATGTCTTCCAGCAGGGATGGAAGGCTAACAGAAAATAGTGGGGTTTAGCCACTCCCACGTTCTCTTGGCTCCCGAAACATGAGCTGCCCCCACCCCGGTTTGTCCACGCACATCAACATACTTCTCCTTAATCTGTGCAGGAGTTTGATGCCAGACAACCCTCAGATGGCTTTCATCTGCATAACTGAATAATAAAAGCAATTCTGGCTGTTTTGGGGGGACAAGACAGTAGAGTTTAATCTTCAAACTTGATTGACTTGGAAGCGTTCCTGTCAATATAGAAGACTGTGTGTGGGGCGGTGGAGAAGCCGAGGCCGGCCCCCCGGCTGTACTTCCAGCTCATGGCCCGCTCGTAGTCCTGCTGCAGGTTCTGCTGCAGCGTGTCGGCCGCCTTCTTGTTGAGGGCCATGTTGGGCCTTCCGATCAGGTTAGGGGGGCGGCTGAATGAAGGGGACAGATTTTTAAAGCCACCCATAAGTTTGAGAAATTTCAGTTTCTGTTCCTCATTTTCAAAACCAGCAGTATCCCACTGGCCAAACTGAGTTCCCTGTGTTAAGAGAAAGAAGATGGTTATTTTCCTAGTTTCCCAAGCCCTTTCCTTTCCCCAGCCCCAGCCTCATCAACTGCTCATCAATCCTCCTGAAGTGCACGCTGTGTACCAGGCGCAGTGCTCCTGAGCACGTCAGTGGATCGTCTCCTTAGCCCTAACAAGAGCCCCAAGAGGAAGACTGTTCGTACTCTCATTTTACTGATGAGGAAATGGAGGTCCGAAGCTTAACTGGGGGGTGCGGGGTGGGGGTGGGGTGGCACAAGCCTAATTAGTAACCCTGCTGGGATTCCAACTCAGGGCTGGCCCACACCAGAGTCCACCTTTACACACACAGCTGCCTGCTTGCTTTCCTCCTTCCCCCCAACTTCATGGCCAACAGTATGACACACCTCACGACACAGCTCACCTCACCTCACCTCACCTCACAACACAGCACATCTCACCTCACGACACAGCTCACCTCACGACACAGCACAGCTCACCTCATGACACAGCACACCTCACCTCACCTCACGACACAGCTCACCTCACCTCACCTCACGACACAGTACATCTCACCTCACAATACGGCTCATCTCACCTCACAACACGGCTCATCTCACCCCACCTCACGACACAGCTCACCTCACCTCACCTCACGACACAGCTCACCTCACCTCACCTCATGACACAGTACATCTCACCTCACGACACGGCTCATCTCACCCCACCTCACGTCACGACACAGCTCACCCCACCTCACGTCACGACACAGCTCACCTCACCTCACGACACAGCACATCTCACCTCACCTCACCACACGGCTCACCTCATTTCACCTCACAACACACACCACCTCACCTCACGGCACATCTCACCTTACCTCACGACACGGCTCATCACACCTCACCTCACGACACGGCTCACCTCACCTCACGACACAGCATACCTCATCTCACCTCACAACACACCTCACCTCACCTCACAACACAGCACACTTTGCCCACAATACAGCACATCTCACTCACCACACAGCTCACCTCACCTCACACACAGCTCACCTCACCAGCTGGCCACTCATCCATCAGCCTAAGGTTACTGTCAGCTGGAAAGTGGAGGACAAGCGGGAATCTGAAATGCCTTTCTCTTTGCAGAAGCACTGCATTTTATGGCAGAAAGGGAGTGGAGGCCCAGAGAGGGGAAGAGTCACACAGCTAAGTGGGAGGCTGGGCCAGGCCAGGAACTCGGGGGTCCTCATTCCTGTCCAGAGCAGTCTACCACCCATGCACGAATCACCCATGTTTGAGAAAATGCAGGAGAGCAGTGGCCTCAGAAAAGAGCCCCTTCCTTTCCATGTCTATGGGACGGGCAAGAAACCCAGCTCCCAATACTATGACTTTGAAGTCATGTAGACCTAGGAACAAGCCTCACCTGTGTGACCCTGGCTAAGTCACTAACCTCTCTGAGCCTCAATGTCCTCATCTATAACATGGGGGTATGACATCCCCCTCACAGGGCTTCAGTGAGGCTCAAATCAGACTTCACACCAACAACCCAGAGCATGATGCCTGGCACACTATTAAATCCTTGATAACTGGTCATTCTTCCCACCCCACCCAGACTGCTGACCTCCACACTGCCTGGAACTTTCCTCTTGCAAGCCAAATGCCAGCTTAGCACTTATTTCTAGGTTGGCTTTGGGAGAAAAGTCAGAACCAGCCGTTGCTACAGCTGCCCTGAGTGAACTGGGGACACATTCTCTCGGCTTCACGTGGCCCAGATGAGGCAAAATTACAGCTGCCCAGGCCTGCGATTTCTAGAACGAGAGGCCGCCTCTGACAGCCCTGCTCTGGGTCTGAGGAGAGCGCTGCCAAGAGGACGACCTGGGTGAGCCCGCTCTTCTGAGGGCGGCTGACCCCCTCAGAGGGGACCCTCCTGGAGGGCCACAGCCAGTCTGGAATCCCCACCACATGCCTCAGTGGTCAAAAGGCCCTAGGTCCTGGGAGGCAGTGCCACCCAAAGTGTCCCCAGCAGATCGCACCCCCGTACCCCAGGATCACCCTCCTGCTATCAGGTCCTTCCAGGTACAGCCTCTGGGGCCACTGGCTCTGACTGCCTCTGCCCTGCTTCCTGCCTTCCTCGCTCAGTCAGGGTGTCCTGTCAGCTCTGCTCAGCTCAGGAGGATGGAGAGAAAGGGGACACCCACAGGAAAGACACATAACAAAGTCACACCATTTTACAGGTGTGGAAACTGAGGCTCGGTTACTTGCCTTGAGTCTCACAACTAGAAAGCGGCAGAGCCAGGAACTGATCTCGGGTCTTTCAATCCAAACTGACTGTTCTTTTCTGTGTTACACTGTGAAGGCTTAAGGCAGAGCCAGCAGGCAGGCCTTCCCTGTCATCTGGATCCTTCTTTCCCAAACCCAATCTATTACAAGTCCTGCTAGCTATGCCTCCAAAGTGGATCGTGAAGCCATTCCCTTCTCTCTCTACCCTCTGCCACCATCTCTGGCCTGAGAACCGAGCCTTGTAACCCGGCTCCCCATTTCCCCTGTAAAGATGCCCTCCAGCAGCTCCCACTGCATTCAGAGCCCAGTGCAAGCTCCCCACCGTAGCTGCTGAGGCTGGCCTGGCATGGCTCTCGGCCTGGCCTGCATCTCCACCTCGTCCCTCTCTTCAGCCTGACTTCGTAGTCCTTGTGCTCTACCTGCTCCTGTCCCCTCTCCTCGGGCCTGGTTTGGACACTTCCCATTCCAAGTGGACCCTGAAGCCAGTCCTGAGAGGCCTGCCACTGCCCCCCTCTCACCCCTGCCTCCTACCGTCCCGGTCCCAGCAGCCTTCTGAGGACGCCATCCACTGTTGGAGAGAGCTCGCCGTCACGTGCCCTCTGCAACAATGCACAGGACACCCCACCTGCCCAGAGCCAGAGACAAAGGTTCAGGCTGCTTATCTCGCCTGGCCAGCCCTCCAGGAGGGAGGCAAGCGGCCCTCTCAGAAGGAAGGAAATTAGCTCAGGACAAGCTCTGCAGCGGAGGGAGCCAGCTGGCAGGCTGGGGTGGCCTCTGGGGCCTGGACTGACTCGTCTCCCGTCACCCTGCTCCTCATGCTGCAAGGCCGGGCGAGGGGTCAGAATGCCGAGCGCCACCTTGCAGAGCCCTAGCATCCAACTTACCGTCCAGTGCCTGGTTTCAGAAGCTTCCGTTTTGCCTGACTCCCGATCGATCTCTTCTTGCAGGGCCTTCCGCCTCACCTGAGCAAAGAGAGGACAGAAAGGAGGGAAATGAGACACTGAAGTTTTCCTTTGAGCTTAAAACCCAGGACAGAGATGGGGCGGGAGGACTGGTAGGTGACAGGAGAGCACCCTCGCTCTGCTGCAGACTGGGGGGAGGCAGCTGCCCAAAGCATCTTCTGAGCACCCTGAGGGCTGCAATCCCTGGTCCTACAACGGGCCCACCTCACTCATCCTCGCTGAGCCATTCCTTAAGAACGAATTTTCCTAGTGCCAACCTATAAAAACAGAAACCAGTTCAAGAGACAAAGTTGATTTGGGATCAAAGAATTGCACCTCGGGGAGCACAGATTCAGGTAGAAACCCAAACAGTGTCCCAACTACAGGAGAGGGGCTCAGGGTTTTTATGGGAAAAGGGGAGGATGAGATGAGTTGCATTAAGGAGGAGTTCACTGGTGCTGGATGAGGTCAGGCTAGGTTTGTACTTCATTGACTGGTTAATCATCAGCAGAGCCCAAGTTCATCAGTCCTTACAGACAGGAAATTCTTGTCTTTACTGACTTCTTGGAACGTTGGCGATTTGGTCCAGTTTGGAAGATAAAGAAAACAAGACATGCACGGCAACTCCTCTGAAATGGCCGCTCCAGCTCTATTTTAATATGCCATCTTTCATATTACAAACGGAAGCTTATCCACCTTCAGCTTTTGAAGCTTTTTTGTTTGTAACAGTCATTTTGGGTTGAAACTTTCCCAAAACCCACTACCCAAAGCCCTGCCTTCCTGTACAGAGGATACGGCAGTTAACTTTCGTGATGATGGCACCATTTCCCAGAAAGAAGGCAGGCTGTAGTCAGGCACAGGCTGGTTTGAATCCTAGCAGTGCCATTAACTAGTTGTGTGGCCTTGGGTATGTCACTAACCTTTCTGTACCCTGGTTTATTTATCTGCAAACAGATGGAAATACCAGCTACCTTGAGGACAAACGGGAGAAACAGAACTGTAATACTGTGACTTAGAAGGAGAAATATGTATTTGGTCTTCACCCTCATTCCTGGCACAGGGCTCTTAAAACCCTTAGAATTTCCAAAAACGAGAGCGACAAAGCGTCTTTTGTTATGTTGGGGTGACTTTTGGAAAGAGCGAAGGATGGGGGCTGGTTGCCTGGAGAACCAACCATGTGATTAGAGGGTTAGAACTTTCGGTCCCACTCCACTGACCTCTGGGGAGGGGAGAGCGGCTAAAGAGTGAGTTCAACCGCCAATGGTCAATGAGTTAATCAATAGTGCCTATGTAATGAAGCCTCCATAAAAACACAAAAGAACGGGGTTCAGGGAGCTTCTGGGTTGTTGAACACGTGGAGGTGCTCAGAGAGAGCATGGAAGCTCCAGGCCCGTCCCCACACCTTGCCCTATCATCTCTTCCATCTGGCTGTTCTGGAGTTGTACCCCTTTATAATAAACCGGTAATCTAGTAAGTAAAATGTTTCTCTGAGTTCTGTCAGCTGCTCTAGCAAATTAATCGAACCCAAGGAGGGGGTCGTTGGAACCTCTGATCTAGAGCCCGTCAGTCAGAAGCACAGGTGACAACCTGGCTTGCAAGTGGCATCTGAAGTGAGGGGCGGGGGGGCGCAATCTGGTGGGACTGAGCCCTTCACCTGTGGGATCTGATGCTATCTCCAGGTAGACAGTGTCAGCATTGGGTTGAACTGTAGGACACCCAGGTGGTGCTGGAGAATTGCTTGTTGGTGTGGGAAACCTCCTGCCCCACACGCAGTTGTTGGGTGCAGAATGTAAGAAGCTGGTAATGGCACACAGGAGGTGCATCTCACACACTGTTGCTGGTACGGCTCCAGGCCGCCATAGCGCACCAATCACCCTGCCGTTTGAGATGAGAGCTTCCAGGCCCTCACCTCCCTCCCAAGGGTTCAGGTGTGACTCTGGCTGCTCCCAACTGTGGCCCTTCCTCCTCCCTTCTAATCTGCCACAGGCTGTGACACAAGGTGACCGTTTATATAGTTCAGAACTACACAAAACAAAGTGACAGCTGTAGGGACGAGAGAGAAAACGATGGCATATTCCTACAGTGGAGTCGTGCTACAGGTGTGGAATGACGTAGATGTGCATTTACCAAAATGGAAATTTACCAGTTAAATGATAAACATTAAAAGAACAGTATACATAGCATGACTGCACACTGCTTTATAATTACACACATATACAGTTACAAAGGAAAAATCTGCAACAAAGGGTTACCAGTGATTCTTATTAGGTGGTAGGATTTTAGGTTGCTTTTTTTTCTCCCAATTTTTTAACATAATGAACTTTTAGTTCTTATGGAAAAATAAGGGGAGAGGTAGGACAGAAGGCTTCACTTACATTGAGATAATCTGTCATCCAAAATGATTAGAGATTTCTTAAAAATTGTAAAGTATTCAATAGGCACAAATAGATAAGAAGCAAAGGGGTGGCTGGAGGGCCTTCCATAAGAAGTGCTGGGCCTGGGGACTCGCAGGGTTTCTAGTAGCTGAGGATACCTGGCAGAGAAGCTGAGGGAAGGGCCTGGGGCCTGGACAAGCCAGGGCCCCACCTGTCCCTTCTGCACGATCACCTGGCTGTTACTGCAGCGCTGGCCTGGACGAGCCGCATGACTGTGAACCAGGGAAGGCTGGGAAGCTCCCACATCTGGGGGGCTTGCACTTTGTGCCAGGCCTGGGACTGGGCTCTGTCAGCGTCATCCTATTGACCCTCTTGGCCCCACTGCGATGCCCCCTCGTCCAGGGAGTCCCCCAGTGCCTCAAAGGCATTAGGGTTGAACTTCCTTAGAATCTTGTAGGCCTCCCTGCTCATATTCGGCTCACTTGTAAGTCCTCACTCGATTTCTCCTTCTCTCCTGGAGGAGAAGGGCCATGGGACAGGAGCCGTCTCTGCGTCATACCCTGTGGCTTCTCTCCAGCAGTCACGTGCTGATGAAGCATGAGGACACAGTCAGGGTAACGGCTGCCACTTAGTAGGCACAGGGATGAAGCAGGCCCCTGCTCACTGCCTCACAAACACAGCCTCATCTGGTCTTGACAGCCACCGACGAGGGTCCGTGAGGTTAGGGACTGCCCAAGGGCACCTCGTTAGGAATGGTCCAAGGTGTTACTACCCGGCCTTAGGGTGGAGGATCATAAAAATACCCCAATTCCAGAGAGACAGCGCAGCTCCCACACAGGACACACCTGCCAGAGGATCTGGGCACGACAGAAGCAGAAGGTGGTCCACAAGAGAACAACTTCTCAGTGCTCCCGAACCGAGGCCAGGACGTGGCGACGCATGGGTCTGGCTGAGCACGTGTTCCCTGCCCTGGCTGTGCATCCCGGGGACATGCCCCCTTCTCCCCCACAGTGGTGACAAGGAGCAGAGCCTCAGCCCGGGATTCTGAACGACCAGGTGGCCCCTCAGCCGAAACCACGGCAGTGAAGGGGTCTCCCGGCATGAAGTGGGCGAGGCCAGGAGTTCTCTCCACTGGAGGTGGCCCAGGGGCTGGCCTGGCAGCCTTGGGAGTTCCTGCCGCCTCTGGGACCAGGATCTTGTGGCCTGGCAGGAGGCGAGTGTGCCTCTGGGGAAGCGGATGAGGACTCGGGCTGTACCTGGTCTATGTGCGCCTCGTCCATGTTGCCTTTCTTCTCCAGTACCACCTCTAAGTCTGTGTCGGGCTCCTGCACAAGAAGGCAAAGGAGTAAGTCAAGCACACGATGGCCTCTGCCCCAGCAGCCTGGCCAGGTGAGACCACACCAGAGTCGAGAAAGACCCAAGATGGCAGCACCACCCCAATCCTGCCACCTACAGAACATCTGACATCCCTTCCCTTCCACGAGTCTCCCATGAAAACCGTGGCAGTGACCTATTTGACAGATGAAGAAACTAACGCTCAGAGAGGTGACGAGACTATCACAAGGTCACCCCCATGGCTCAGGGACACTAACCAGGTCTCCTGACTCAGGCTAGGTACACGACCTTGCCCGCCACACACACCTGACCTCCCAGGCTGACACTAAACCAGCAAGAGAGCGGTCAAGGGCCCCTCTTATAGTGGGGGAGGGGCGGGCAGGGAATGCAGAGGTGGGCTCAGGCCCTGGTCGGGGGCCCTGCCAGCAAACCGACCACCCGAAGCCACTCACTTCTCTCCCCACACCGCCACCCCCAGTCCTGCTCGCTGCCTTCTCTCCCGCCTGGACAACCACGAGTCTCTAACTCCTGCTTCCCACCCCCCAACCCAGGTCCATTCCACACAGCAGCTCGAGTGAGCTTTAAAAACTCAACTGGCTCCCTCAAACCCTCCAGAGGTTCCCATCTCATTTACACGAAAATCCAAACTCCTGTGCGCTCTATGGTTCTGTCACTTGGCCCCCGCTCGTGCGAGGGCCTCTTTGCTCCTCCCAGGGCCTCCGCACCTGCTGCTCCCTCTGCAGACAGATGGCCAGGGACCGCACGGGGCGCAGCTCCCACGTCGCGCCCTCATGGGGCCTGCCCTGGCCACACTGACACGGGCCACGCTCTCAGTGGCCTCAGCCCCTGTCGTACCTCATCGGGGTGAGCCCTTAAGCCACTTTCCCTGGGTTCCTCAGTAATGACAATGGTCACGTCTCCCGCATCTTTACTCTAGGTGTGCTCTGCCTGGCACCCAGGGTGACGCGTGACGATCCCTGGACGGCTCTGCTCACTCACATCCCCGATCCAGATCCTGAGGATACACCTGAATTTCCCAACTCCACGGACTGCTCTGGGAGGCAGGGTCCCCATCACGGGAGACATTAAGCAGAGGGGACTGACTACCTCTCACTGAGCTCCTGGGAGAAGGGATTCTAGATTCTGATGAGGGTTGGGCTCCAAAGCCCCCAAGGTTCCTCCTAGGCCCTGAGAGTTTCTAAATACAGGAGGAGACTGGTGAAACCAGTCTAACGGCCTAAGGCAAAACTGGGAGAAACCCAGGAACCAGAACTACCTCTTGTAGGCCCTGATATGGAGGCCACCCCTGCCCTCCCCAACCCCGTGTGGCCGAGCTGAGAGCAGACCAGACATCTTCCCGATGACCCAGCTCCAGGGGGCTCATCCTTCAGTCGATATGAACTGAGCCCCCTCCTCTGTGCCACGCCCACCTCTCAGGAAGTTCTCAATACACCTCAGCCATCACCCTTCCTTCAGGACTGCAGGTCACCCAGCTGGTGGGTACAGAGAACCCAGGGCTTGTTCTAACACAAGACAGTCATTTCTTGGGCTCTAATGATCTACTGGCATCTACGTGAGGTGACGTAGGCGGCTCCTGAGAAGGGATAAAGCCTCCAGTTCAGGACCAGACTGGATTTGAAGCCGAGCCCCACCCCTCACCAGCTGGGTGACCTCAGACAAGGCACTGAACTCCCTTGAGCCTCAGTCTCCTTGTCTGGTAACTGGGGATAACCACAGCAGCTCTCTCACCAGGCTGGTGTGAGGATTCAAAGGGTTAACACATGCAGGGCATCAGCCCACTGCCAGGCACACAGAAAGCGTTCAGGAAACACCAGCCACCGGCCACCCTGACGTGCCAGGCATCTGCTCGGAGTACGACGCGCACCATCTCGCTCCGCCTGCACGTCCACGTGCACACCCTGAGGACAGGAACTGCGGCCCTGGCGGTGGGACAGACGGGGAGGCTGGGGGCCCGTGGAGGCACCAGGGCTCCAGCTCGTCTCCTCCCTCCCCTGCCCCCATCAAGGAAGCCTGTCAGGATGGAGACAGCAGATCTCTGATGATCACCAGGCCATGATCCATCCCCTTCCTCCTCATAACAGGACCCCAGTTTCCCTCTCAGAAGCTGTCCTCCCACCATCTCAGACGGTGGGGTTCAGGTAGGTCTGGCACCCTCAGCCCCTCCCGCCGGCTTCAGATCAGGGCTCCTGGTTCGTGTGACCCAATCGAGGCTGAGAGAGCAGCCCTGGAACCCTCCCTGTAATCATTCTGGAGGGGCTACCCTTCTCCCTTTGCGGGTGGCTGAACTACCAGCCTGAAAGCCTAAAGCTGCTAGGACCATCCTGCACTGGGGTGGGGGCTAGGGGGTGGGGAGGAGCCTGTCTGGGATGAAAACCAGCAAAAAAATACAAAGTGCAGAGCTGGGGAAAGCTACACAGGCATCTCCTGTGATCCAAATCTATTTGATCCCTAAATCATTTATACTGAGCTCAGAAAGGAAGCTCAGATGGCTATGGACACCATGTTATCTCAAACTATTTGGTTTCTGAGTTTTGGATAGCAAGTGGCAGGGGGAGATTCATCGGAAAAACTTATCCCAATTTATCCAGATCCTGAGTGCAGGTAGTGAGAACTTGGGTAGAGTTTCAATAGCAAGGGATACCTGTATTATTGAAGATATTGCATGAGCACCTGCATCTAGCCATACCTGAAGCTAGATAGCTCTTAACCTTTCCAGTTACATTTGTCAATAAATCACCTTTTCTGGCTGAAGTGACTTTAATCAGGGTTCTGGCAGCTAAAAAGCTGAGTGTCTGTGTGTGCACACACGTGCATGCACACACACTCTCCCAACTTCCACCCTGATTCTCCCAAAGGAGAGTCTACTTCTGAAGGAAAGCCTACCTCCTCCCAAGGTTCTCCTGCTACTCTGCTCTCTTTCTTCTTTTTCTTTTTCTTCCTCTTCAGAGCTGGCTCTTCAATGCCTGGCTGCTCTGCCTTTTTCTTGGACTTCATTTTCTTCTTCGCAGGGGCCTTGGTGTCATCTTCTATTGGGATGTATTCTGGAGCATCGATTTTGACTGGTTTCTTTTTACTTCCTTTCCTAGGGCTCTTCTTTATGGACCTGGGGAGCTCGGGGTGCCCTAGGGGGGTGTCTTCCTCCTGGTGGATTTTCCTTTTCTTCGTCATCTTCACATTGTGTTCCCTGGGGCTCCCCTGTTTCCCTTTCTGCCCCGAGACTGCCTGATCCCCGCCATCCTTCCCCACTGAGTAAGGGTACGGAGCATCCCCAGCCTCGCAGAACCAATGGTCCCTGGCTGAGAAGGCCGTGGCCTCCTGGGCCTTTTTCTCCTTCTTGTGTTTTTTGAGCTTCTTGCCATCTCTGGTTGCCTCTTCGCCCTGTCTGGGGTCTGGGGAGGTCTTCACCCTCGAGCTAGGGGACATGGCCAGAGGCCACGAGGCCTTCCTCTTCTTTTTCTTCTCCCCACTGACAAACTCAGACGGACCAAGAGCCTGCTTCCCGGGGCTGGGCGACTTCTCTGTGCACCTGGCACGTACCGTGGTCTCAGGTTCTACGTGCTCCTCGCAGAGGGTGCCGGGGCCCTGCTTTTTCTTCTTCTTTTTCTTCACTAGAGGCATCTCGGGTGCCTGCCCTTGGACCACATTCTTCGAGGGGGACGTGGCTCTTGTGGGACAAACCTCAGTGAAATAATTGTCACTGTGTAAAACCGAGTACTGAGTCTCTGGTTCTTTGACTACCTTCTTCTTCTTCTTCTTCTTCTCTGGGAGCCCAAGGCCCAGCTCTCCTTTGTGGGTCTTGGTGATCATTCCTGGAAGGAGAAATAGGACAAGTCATCGCCACACCAAGCCGCCCTGTGCACAATTCAACTAGGTACTGCCCAAAGCCAGGTTTCTCTGAGTGGATGGTCTGAAATGTTAGGGGATGGGAAAATGGACATGATTCCCGCAGAGCAAAGGGAAATATGATCGAAGAAGGAGAATGGAGTTTACATCAGACAGCCCCTGGTTCAGATCCAATCTGCTCCCTCACCTTAAGTCAATCACCTATTCTGCCTGAGCCTTAACTTCCCCATCTGAAAAACGGGGGGGAAATAACACTTCCTTCCTTAAAGGGCTGTGGGAAGGAATAAACGATAATCCATGGAAAGTGCTTGGTACATCCCTCGTCCTCAAATCTCTAAGCCTAGTCACTCATTCAACAGCTAATTACCGACGGCCTCCCCTGTGCAGCCGCTGAGGGTACAACTGCAGTCAAGCCAGGCAGACCAGACGCTGCCCTTGGGGGCTCACTTTTACTAGACGAAGGGGACAGAAATCCTGAGGTTAGTGCTCTTGCCAGTTCCCACCAGAGGCAACAGCTGTGGCACAATTAACCGTTACCTTGGCTCCTCTCAACAGCTCTTCTGCTTTGTGTCTGGAAATTAATTCCCCCACCTGCACCCTGGGTGACATACTCTCCCAATACCTTCCCATGTGGCCAGCAGTAAGAGCAGCAGCCAGGACTGAAAAGACCTAGGTTCACATGGTGGCTCTCACACTCTCTTGCTGCATAATGGTGGCTTCTCCAGGCCTCAGTTTCCCCATCCATAAAAGAAAGACTGAACCAGATCAGAGGCTGCCCGGGGTGGGTGTGGGGAGCCACAGCCAGCCTGCAAGTCTGTTTCACTGTTTTTAAATTTTGAAATAAATTGCCACCATTTAATGACTGGAGTGAGAATGCCCAGCTTGGTTTTGTTTTGGAAACTGTCAGGGAGGGACCTGTGAGAAGGGGCTGGGCCCTGGAGCACATCGCAGCTTCCAGCTGGGCTACTTCTCTCACTCCGTCCACCAGCCCAGTTCCCACTGCTCCCTGGACTAAATGCCACGGACATACTCAGAGGATCCACACGCACGTCCCCTCACGGGAGGTCTGGACAGTGGGAGGGAAAGGGCAGGAGCTTCTCTATCCTGCAGCTCTCCTCAGCCTCAGAGCCCAGGGGCTCCGCACAGGACCTGGCTCACTCTTAGCAGCTTCAAAGAGCCAGGCCAGGCCTGAGCTGGAGCTCAAGTTCATTCATAACTCGCTCCAGGAGCAGCTGGAGAGTCAGGGAAACACTCATTCATTCACTCCTGCCTTGTTTTCTGCTCTATTCCCAGAGCCTAGTTCTGAGCCTGGCACACAGCAGGTGCTCTATAAATACTCACTGAAGGAAGGAAGGAATGCTAGACATTCAGAGATGAACAAGATAAAACCACTCCCATCAAGAAGCAGGTCGGTGTGGGAGGGAAAGAGGCGTGCTAACAAGGATGGCACAGGTGAGAAAAGTGAGCACAGGGGTAAGGTCGGGGGAATGGGGGCCAGCTCTCAGGAAAGTTTCTCAAGAGCCGAAGTTTCCAGCTTGGGAACTGCAGGATGGTGGTGCCGATCCTACAGGCAAAGGAACTGAAGGTGATGCCGGGGGCCTGGAGCAGATGGGCTCCTTTGAACAGATCCCCTGAGATACCTAAGTGAACATGTGCGTGGACAGATGGATATCCGGGTCAGAGGCTCAGGGGTGACTGGGCTGACACAAACTTGAAAATACATGGATGGTAATTAAGCCTTAAAGAGAAGGAGCCCCAGACAAGACCTGACTTAGGGAAAGGGGTGGGCAGATGAAGAGGAGTTTGCAAAGGAGAGGGAGAAGCTGCAGACCTGGAGAGGGGGGAGCCACGAGTGCCCCAGGACGGAGGAGTGGTCGAGAGACCTGATAAGAACAAAGAAGCCCAGGGGAGGCTGTTGTCAACTCCATCCCCTTCTCTCCCCATCTGATCTTCTTCTTCGACCCTGCGTCCCCAAAAGTATTTACTCCTTCAAGGAGAACAAGAGAAGAAATGACCCTTGCAGCGTGTCTCCTGCTAACGCGAACGCTTTCTCCAAAAGCTTTTTTAAATTTTCGCGGTAGCCTCGTAGGGATCGGTGGGAATACCCCATCTCAGAGACTTGCAAACTGAGGCTTGCAGACTTTAACTCACTTGCTCTGGGTCCCAGCGCCAGGAAGTAGCAAAACAAGGATTCGAACCAGCCCGCGGGACTCCGGAGCCTGTGCTCTGCACAATGGCACCACCACCCCACGCCCATCCCAGGACCCCCAGCGGGAAGCAAGGGGGCTAGGGGGCGAGACTGGCCCCTCCAAGGCTCCGCCGCGCCGAAGATTCCGCACAAACACACGGGAGGGACTACGCGGGATCCCGGGCCGGCGGCTGCAAGGCGGGAGAACTTCCCGGAGGCGGCGGCCTCAGGCTGGGACGAGCGCACACTGGAGACTGGGGGGCGTGAAGGGGTGAGGTCTGGAGCGGGGGGGGTCACCCGCTTTGCCCTCTATTCGTCGCGCAGTCCTCAGCCACAACCTCCAGACCCACGCGCACGCCCCGGCGTCGCGCCCTCCGCACTCACCCGTAGGCCGGACCTCCGCGCCTCCACGTGAGAGCTCGCTCCGCCGTGACCCGGAAGTCAATGTCGAGTCGCTGGCCCGCCCCCGGGAGTTCCGGCTCCTTCCGGGTCGCGGCCGTGCGGGGAGCGCGGTTGCCGTGGAAACCTCGGCCGTGGAGGCGCACCGGCGGGTGTGCAGTCGAGTCGCCCAGCGCGACGAGTGAGCTGGCTCGGTCGACTCGTGGGTCACCGCCAAGATGCCAGTGCCCCCCGTGCCCCCCATGTCCCCCGAGCGGCCCGTCTCGCCGGGGCAGGTTGCGGAGCCGCCCGGCAAGAGCCTGTGGGAGCGGATCTGCGAGGGTAGGCGGCCCGGCCGGCCGAGAGGGGCGGGACTCGGGCGGGGGCCGCGTGCCCGGGGCGCCCACTGTGCGCCAGGCGGCTGACGTGCCGGGCCTGCGGGCTCCCCATTTCACGCACGGGCAAGCCGAGGCCCCGGGACGCTTGCCCGAGGGTCCGCCGCGCGCCCTCCAGCCTTGATCCGTAGTCAGGTCAAAGGCGGGGGAGAGCAGGGGAACGGGAATAAAGGGCACCCGGTGGTGTGGCCCGGTGGTGCTCACACTTCATTTAGTGAACAGGAGAGAATCGCTGGGGCGGAGATGGGGAGCTTGTTTCAAACGTGGGCTCCCAGGCCCCGCCCGCAGAGCTCCTTATGGGGTGCGGGGAATCTGCGCTTTTAACGAGCACCCCGATATTTCTGATGTTGCTCATCTACAGCCCACACGTTGAGCAGCTGGGGTCTAGACAGACTTGGGTTTTAATCCCTCTCCACTTCTAGCCTTCCTTAAAATCCCTAAACGGAGTTTAGCCCGCCTTCTTTTGTGGCCCTACACATACATACCCCTCGTCACGAGGCCCCGCACTACTCCACGTACGTGTTATTTAGTTTGTTACTCTGTAAAGTGAGCGTAATAATGGCACTTCTTTCGTAGTGTTAGGAGGATGCAGCTAAATAGTCATGGAAAGCGCGTAGCAAACTGCCCGCAAGAGCTCAGTGTGCGTTAGCTCTTAATAAATACATAATGCTGGGTGGTTTTTTTCCTTCCTTTAGGCTGTAAGCTCCTCAAGTTCAAGAACTCAGATTTTTCATTCTTGTGGCTCCCATCACTACCTCAGCCATCTAAAACAGCGCTGTCTAGTAGAACGTTCAAGTATGGTAGCCACTCGTCACATCTGGTTATTGAGCACTTGAAATGTGGTTAGTACAGCTTTGGAACTGAATTTTTTATTTGACTTAATTTTAATAAATTTAGATAGCTCCATGTGGCCAGTGGCTAGTGTATTGGACAGTGCAGGTCAATAAATGTTTGTGGAACAGAGAAAACAATGACTGCACCAGTACATGGGACTAGGTGGAAGAAAAGAGCGATGAATTGAGAGGCGTGGAAGATGCAGAGGAAGAGAATGTGGACTCCCGAGTTGATGGGTACTCCCCAAGGCCTCCTGTTTCAGCTCCCATCCAGGGCTTGAATTCCTTCTCCAGCATTACGTTGCATTATATCCAGAAAAATCTGTTGCATCTTGAATGTTCTCCCTGTGACTTCTCCCCCCTGGTGCCACCACGCCAGTTGCTGACCACCATAAAGAATCCAGTCAAATACGTGAAGGTTGTTATTGTGGCTCCCTTCTCCCCCGAGCTTTCACTTCTCCAAGCCGAACAGCTCTTCGTAATATACTTTCCTAGCGTTGGTTGGGGAAGCTGCTTGGCCTCGTCTGTAAGAGGGGGACACTCCTTGTACCCACCTCACAGGGCCATTGTGAGGACCGAGGAAGATAATGTATGCAAAGGTGCTTGGCACGGTGCCCAGCATTTAGAATGTGCTCAATGAATGTTCGTTATTGTTGACAAAGAAACGTGCTTCACGTTGTGCTTTAGAATCACGGAATTTATGTTGGTCAGGCAGGCCTGTAGGAAGAAAGCAAAGACAGAGGGTTTGGTGCTCCCTGAAAAGCAAGGGAATTGATGCCACTTATGAAGTAATAGAGTTGCAAAGTGAAGTTAATAAGGTCAAAGATGGGGAATTATCCACACAGGCACTGTAATGATGATTATAGCCTAGATGAATGAACCCAATTTCTTAGAACAGCCATTCTAACAAACACAATTTTCTATAACAAACATAGTGAGTAAATTCAGTTTATCACAACAAACGTGGAAAACAGGCTTTGTAGTGATCCTGTCTTTGAGGTTAAGTATTACATTCTCTTAGGATATCTCCATGTAAGAAGCAAATTATAACAGCAAACAGACCTGTTAGAAACTCAATCTCAGGAAGATGAGATACAGGATAGGTAAATATCTGTCATAAACAAGACCTTTATCCTTCCTGGCTAGTGTTGTTTTGTGTGTGTGTGCGCATGCTTTTGCACGCCTCTACAATAACTTATTTGTAAACGTTCTTCAGTTTGCTTATCTTTCCAGTGACAACTGACTCAGGGCTTTCTATTCCCAAAAGCACGTGTATTAGTATCAATAAACTACTTTCCTACCAAGGCTTCTAATTAAATCTTATAGTTGCTTGTGACTTATGATTTTTAACTATGGTTTTACCCAAGACTGAGTCAAAGTATTTGGGGCTTATGGTCTCTGTTGATATTGCTGTTATTACTCTCATCAGCATCCTCACTATTGCCATCATCACTGCTCTCTGGCCTCAGCCCTCAATGCTGTTATAAAATCAGGTCCCTTCAGCCCACCTGCCAGATACCAACACGGAGCTGCTGTGAATCAATGCTTGTTTCCCAAGCGCAGCTGGAGGAAAAAGGCACCGGGTGGCTCTCAGCAGTGCTTATCAGTCAACATCCCTCAGTGCCTTCTCCCGTTGTGCGCATCTCCTAGTCCCAAGTTTTTACTCCCCTCCTCAAACGTGGTGTGATACCACTTCGTAGATGTAGGAGGCATTCACTGAGAATAGTCACAATCAGGAGTGGGGAGGGAATCCTCCAACTTCCTCATACCAGCAAACATGTTTGCCATCTGCACGCATGCAGAAGTATTTACCCCTCTATCACAACAGCCCTGCATGTGTGCTTTGGTACCATCCGCTTCCTACCCCAGCATCCTGTTGGATCACTCACCTCCTCTCCCACATCTTCAACTTCTCTACTGGCTCTTCCTCCAAACATCCTCTGGTCTGTCATCTTGAGAAAATCCTCTCCCTTGACCCCGTATCATCTAGATCTTGTCTATCCCTCCTGCCCTCTCAGCCAAGCTTCTGGAAAGAACACACTGCCCTTGTTCACACTGCTGTCATTCCCATTTTCTTATCAACCCAGTGCAGGCTGGCTCCTACCTCACGGCTCCAGTGAAATTATTCTCACACATTCAATCAGCATATCTACCCATGCTGGGAACTGTTTAAACGCTAGCCCCGGCATGACTCTAGGCACTGTTCTAGACAGCAACAACTTACTCTCCGTCTCAGTGATGTCACCATCCTTCACTCAGCTGCCCAGTCCAGAAACCGCTTCCCTTTCACTTTCCACGATCCCCACATTCCTGCAATCCCTATAGATTCTACTTGCTTAACATCTGTAACCCCGAAGTCCTCACTCCCTAGTCCTCATGGTTACTAGTTGAGATCAGGCCCTTACACTTCCTGTTTGGATTGCTGCTGTAGCTTTTTAATTGGTGAAGGCCTCCTTCCAGACCATCTGCCACAGGAACCTTGCAAATTTAAATCTGATCACATCATGCTGTGACCTACAATCATTTTTATAGCTTTCATGGTAAACTAAACTCCTTTGTTTGACACTTAAGCCATTTAATGATCTGACCCCTGTCTGTTTTCTTAGGTTCATCACGTACCATTTGCCCAAATCATGCTAATGTCAAATGTTTATTGAGCTATCTTTATGTGCCAGGCACCGTGTTAGGTGCTTTTCTTCTCATTTAAACCTCACAGTAACAGTAAGGGTTTTGCTTGTTGTACAGGTGAGGGAATTGAAGTGTAGAGAGGTTAGGAAACTTGCCCAAAGTAAGTGGCGGAACTGGGCTCAAACTTGGATCTGTGTGACACTTGAGTCCAAGCCCTTAAGCAACTTACCAGCATGCTTCAGAGTCTGGGAACACCTACATCACAATCTCTCAGACATTTGTTAAAATGCAAATTCCTGTGCTCTGTGCCAGGCCTGATGAGTCAGGCTCCTTGGTGGTGAGTCCCTAAGCTCTGCATTTTAAACAAGCTCTCCAGGTAAGGCACAAGGCACAGTACCATTGTCCTCTGTCAGGTACTTTTAGCCACAAGAAACTGTTCCTCTGGTGCGCCGTACTGTTCCACTCCATGACTTTGCACAAGCTTTGCCTCTTATCGGAACATCTCTGGCTTCTCATTTCTATCTTTCTGGGCTCAGCTCAAGGGTCCCCACCATCTGGAAAGTCTTCTATAATTCCTCACACTGATTTCAAAGCCCCTTCTCTTCGCTGCTCCTAGAGCTCTGGGTGTGGCCCACGACAGCAGCACTTTCGCCTCTCATAACCGCTGGTTTACCATTCATCCCCTCACCAAAACATAAGCTCCTCTGCCATATTCATCTGTCCCTTCTTGTACACCTTGTACAAACCCTCACCCTAGTGTATGCTGGCTAAGTGGTCATTAGATTCACTTCCAGCCTCTTCACCTTCCTGGTCCCTCCCTTTCCAGTAGGCCACTATTGGTAAGCGTTACATTTTAATTGCTATTTCAGTTAGGAACACATTCAGGGGCAAATCACAACAAGCTGGACTAACAGTGGCCTGAGCAAGAAAGACATTTCATTGTCTCACGTCCCAGGAGCATGGAGGGGAGAGGTTCCAATTTTGGCGTAAGGGCTCTGCTCCTCCAGCAAGGTTACAGGCTCTTTCTGCTCTGCCTCTTGCAGAATGTTGCCTTTGTTGTATAAAATAAAGAACTCCTGGGGACGCACTAGCGTGCGTATAACATTAAATTCCCCTAATCAATCCCATTTACAAGCTTAGATAACTAAAAGATTGTAAACATTTATAAATTTAATATACCTGATTTTCTTAAGTATTTCTAGTGCCAAACAGAGCAGACAAGCAAATTTTTCTAAGCAGTAAAGCAACTCTTAGAAATGGAATGAATCGGACTATGGCAAATCAAGTTGTTTTAAAGAGTTTAACACTCTTTACAAACGTAATAAATTCAGACAAACTCATATGACTTTTGATGTAAAAAGCACCGATCTCTAATCAATTATATATTTCAAACTGAAATCACAAGGCAAAACCGACAAATTCTCAAATGTGCCAGATTCTCTTAAACATTACAGAGGCTTGAAATAACAAACACGTCAGATTGTTCTGAACCTAATATATTTTCCCATACTTCTACACATCATTTCAACTGTATAGCTTTTGTGGGTGTGTGATGAAAACATTTGTATCAGGGCCAGCCCGGTGGCACAAGCCGTTAAGCAAATGCGCTCCGCTGCCGTGGCCCGGGGTTCACCAGTTCGGATCCCAGGTGCACACTGACGCCCCGCTTGGCAAGCCATGCTGTGGCAGCCTCCCATATAAAGTGGAGGAAAATGGGCATGGATGTTAGCCCACGGCCAGTCTTCCTCAGCAAAAAAAAGAGGAGGATTGGCAGATTTTAGCCCAGGGCCGAACTTCCTCACACACACAAAAAAAATTTGTATTTTTCCATCAAATTTAAGTGAACTCTCACGAGATCTCCTTGGAAAAAATATAAATGGCAATAAATAATAATTAAAGAAATTCAAATAAAAGTCAAATCTCATTTTCAATATAATTAGATTAGTAATACCCTACAGAAACAGGCAGTCTTACTATTAGGAGTATAAATGGTTGTAAACTTTCTGAAGGAGAGTTTCACTTAAATTTTAAATTATTTTTTCTTTTGACAGAACAATTCCACTTCTAAGAATTAGTCCTACAATAATACCTCCTTTCCCATCAATGATGTGTGTATAAAGATGCTCGTAGCAGCATTGTTTGTAATAATGAAGAATTGGAAATAACCCAAACGCCCACTAAGAGTACATGGGTTAAATAAATGTGGCACATCATACATGTAGCAGCATTGAAAGAGGTCCAAGATTCAACACCTAGAATGGATCGGTGGGCTTGCAAAAAATATGAACGAATGAATACATAAAGGGTCAAAAGTAACGCTGTACTGTTTGTTTTTTTCATTCATTCATTCATTGCTTCATTCATTCAGCAAATATTCTTTAGGAATAAGATGGTGAGCACAAACAGACCCAGGTAGTTCCCTCACAAAACATACAGTCTATTAGAAGAGAGAGTCATTAATTTTTACAAATTTCAAATAAGGGTAAAACTGATATGAGTTATGAAGAAAAAGGACACAGTGTTATGAGGTTCTATACTTGGACGACTTGACCTCGTCTGGGAGATCTAAAGTAAATGAATGTGTTTGTGATTATATACATACGTTAGTAAACGCATTGAAGAAGAGTTGGTGGGATCTCTGCCAGATCTAACAGTGGTGATGGGCAGTGATGGGATTAGGTGTGACTCACACTCTCTACATGAGACATTTCGGTATTGTTTGGAATTTTCTTACAATAAGCGTGTACTGCTTTTGTCATCAGACAAAGCTAAACATGTACACATCATAATGCACATAAACAGTTTTCGCACTATATTGGTAATTCTTCAAGTGTTGGGGGAAGAAGGGTGAGTTTACACGCTTGCTTAAGAGGAAAAATACAGCGGTAGAGCTGGAGCCATTGTGGTGAGCAGAATTCCAGGATGTCCCCAAGATTCCCGCCCCCTGGTGCACTCGCCTCCCAGTTATTCAGTCACACACTAATCTAGGCATTGCTGTCGAGGATTTTCCAGGTGTAATTAAAGTCTGTAATCAGTTGACTCTAACTTAGGGAAATTATTGTAGGTGGGCCTGACCTAATCAGGTGAGCCCTTAAACGATGTCAGAGAGATTCAAGCAGAAAAGACTCCTGCTGGCCTTGAAGCAGCAAATGAACCACGTGTGAACTGCCTGTGACAAAGACCTGAGGGCTGTCTCTAGGACTGAGAGCCATTCCCACCGACAACCAAAAAGAAAATGGGGACTTTAGTCCTACAACCACAAGAAACTGAGTCTTGCCAACAACCAGTGAGCTTGGAAGAGGACCCCGGCCCTCAGATGAGATTCCAGCCATGGCCAAGACTTTGATTTCAGCCTAATGAGACCCTGACCCACACCCAGATTCCTGACCTGTGGGAACTAAGAGATAGTAAATTCATGTTAAGTCACTACTGTGGGAGATCAAGATTTGGCCACCCTGAAATATATCTCTTTACCTTGATTGTTTTCTCTGAAGGACATTTGACCTCCCCCACTAACTGCCTAAAGAATTTGACATGGGGCTCCTTCCTGGAACAGATCTTCTATCATGATGGCTGTAAAGATAATGTAGGATAGAGGTTACAATAGGAAAGGCACCAAACCCCTTTTATCAAAAACTCTGTCTCTCCCTGACCACATTATTTATAGATGACCCTGAGAAGAATTGTCATCCTGAACTCTGAAGTCCCAGGCCACTACCCACCCCCAACACGCTCCTCGCCTTTAGCTGCAATACTTAAGCAAGCAGCCTAGACAGAGGGACGAGTTGCTCATTTCTGAGTTTCTCCCATGTATACATGTTAATAAACTTGGTATTATTTTCTCCTGCTAACCTGCCTTGTTAATTATTTGGCCAGCCATAAGAACCTTAAGGAAAAGGGCAGAGGGAGATTCTCCCTCTTCCTCCGACACTACTTTTGTGGTAATGTTAGACAGCCATAGAAAACTAATATAGTTTGTATCGAGAATAAAAATTGTTAATAACCTGCAGCCTGATGCCTAGGAGTTAAAAAAAAAAAATAAGTTAAGAAATGCTCTACTATCTGATAAGGAACTAGGTAATGGAATAAAACTTGTGTCCAATACAATCATAGGCCATCAATACCATCTTCCCAGAAACTTTGTTTCTCCTCACTGCTGCAGCATGACTATTCACTTTCCTTTAAAACACTGACCTTCCCAGAAATATTTTTACCAGTCTTCCTTTTAGGGATGTAACTCATATAGCCCGTGAGCATGTCTGTCCCTCTCTCAGCAATAGTTGTTGTTACCCTGTAGAACTTGTGTGGAACGTTCTTTGCATTAAGCTCTCTAGCGGGTTGACTGTGATCAGTCTCAAAACCTGGCGATTGTTCCTTGCCTCACTGCACGTTAGAATCAGCTGGAGAACTTGAAAAATACTGATTCCCAGGCTCCTGCCCTGACCTGTTGAATCGGCATTTTGGAGTTGGGCCCAGACATTGATATTGTCAAAAAGCTCCCTGGTGATTCGAATGTGCAGCCAGGATAGGCAACTGCTGCTGTCCACGGCAGGATTCTCTGACTTTAGTGTGCCTGCAAGTCACCTGGGACCTTGTTGAGACGCAGGCTCAGATTCTGTAGGTCTGGGGTGGGGCCTGAGAGGCTGCCTGTCTAACTGCCCTGGGCTGCTGCTGCTGGTTCTCAGGCCGTACTCTGAGTAGCAAGGGTTTTGGGGACTGGTCTTCCAGCCACATACCCTAATCCGGCAGTCCTACCGTCACGCTCATCCCCTGACTGCCTGGCACGGCTTGTCTTCCCTCTGTCTCTTATTCTGCCCTGTGCTCACACTCTCCTCCCCCTCCCTTTCTCCCCTCTCCTCCCAGTGTGCTGTTGGTGTCTCCCCTTCCCATTCTCTTCCTCCTCCTATTCCCTGTAGTTACCACGATTTGGGGGCAAAATCTAAAGTTGTGCCCTCTTGAGAAAAGAGTCTCAAGCTCTTATGTAAAGCCTTGACTCTTTCATACGAGAGAACAGTTATTTTTCATCTATTTTAAATAAGGCGGTTCACATTATCAACCTGTAACGGCCAGTTGTTTTTCACTCTGTAAACCACCAACTGAAGTAAAACTTAAGAATGTTTCGTTCAGAGGAAAGGAAATTAACATCACAAACTGCAGTGAAGTACGCAATTGAGGATTTTTTTTTCCCATCTCTTTAGAGCATGAAGCTGAGCAGCCTCCCTTTCCAGAGGGATATAAAGTCAAACCAGAAGCTGTGATGACTGTGAGTATGACCCAGGCCTCGACCTCAGTGAAAGGCTCCTAGGTGAGGACAGCACTGATGGCCAGGGGACAGCAGGCAGCGTCATGAGTGAGGGAGGTGGGAGAGGAAGGCCCTGGGACTGGAACCAGAAACCTGGGCCCGTCCTAGCTCTACTAGTAACCGTGGTCTCAAAGGGCATGGAATAGGGCCGGCCCCGTGGCTTAGCGGTTAAGTGCATGCGCTCCCAAGCTGTGGCGGCCCTGGTTCGGATCCCGGGCGCGCACCGACGCACCGCTTGTCCGGCCATGCTGAGGCTGCGTCCCACATACAGCAACTAGAAGGATGTGCAACTATGACATACAACTATCTACTGGGGCTTTGGGGAGAAAAAGGGGGAAAAAAAAAAGGAGGAGGATTGGCAATAGATGTTAGCTCAGGGCAGGTCTTCCTCAGCAAAAAAAAAGAGGAGGATTGGCATGGATGTTAGCTCAGAGCTGATTTTCTGCACAAAAAAAGGGCATGGAATAACCTCTTTGAGCCTCAGTTTCTACACCTGTTAAATGGAACAGATAATCCTTGACTAACTCAGAGTAAGGCTCAGATGAGATCCTGGATGAGAAAGGCCTTTACAGTGGAGTCAACACCATGTCCATGTTGGGCGCAGTTGTGGATAGAGCAGGTTTCTTTATGCGTGCCAGGGTGGGCAAGGTGAAGACTGTACTAAGGAAAGAGGGCCAAGGACAGGGCAGCCAGCAAGGGAGGCCCTCAGGCGGTATGCTTGGAGTAAAATAAGGACTTAATGGAGTTAAAATAAAGCAAAGCTCTGAGAGATGAAGGGACTTGGGAAGGGTCACCAGGATGGGACAAAAACCCAAGTCTCTAGACTTCCAGTATGTTACTGCAGCTGTTAGAGATTCTTGTGTCTAAGAACTTTCTTGGCCTGCGACTGTTCTTTTTTCATCGCATTCTGTTCTTGCTTCATGGATGCAATGCTTTCTCAAATTCCTCTGCAGATACTAATTACAGTTCTCTTCCCTGAATTATTTGTGCTTCTTCCAGGATCAGTTGTTCTTTGTAGATGATCTTTGTCGTTTATGCTGTTGATGCTCTTTATCTGTGTGGAGAGCTTTGATTGTTTATTCAAAATTTAAAATGCAGGCCTGAGTGGATTTTTCTACATAGGTGGTATGGTTTTCTTCTACTGTTGTACACATGGGTTTGTCTTCTGGGTGGGTCTCTTCTGTGAGTACAAGCACTGACTGGGAGCTCATGGGGGCTGATTGTCCACTGGAAGCCTTTTCTTCAGGGTCAGCGGGCAGGGAGTCTGTATTTTGGGGTTGGGCTGGGAGCCTCCAAGTCAATGGTGAGTTTTTTTTTTTCTTTTGACCATCAACATGGCACACTGAGTAGTTCTGCTCCTTCCCAAGCTGTTTGTTTATTTTGTTTACAGAAGAGTCACTGGAAAGGTGGGAGAGCTGGATATAAGTTGCTGGTGTGAACGTAGCTTTATGTATACTGAAGCGGGCAGAAGCGGGAGGAGGGGGAATTGGGCTGCAGGCCAGTGGAGCCCCAGCTAGATCTTCTCTTAACCCCTCCTGTTTATCATTCCCACCGTCTGAGGAATCGAACCCCGGAGCACTGAAGCCCTTTGGAATTCTGGTGGGAAGATATGGACTCCCATCCTCTGGGGCGGTTTCCTCCTGTGGATTCTGGGCTGCCACTTTCCCTCTCTCTTATCTGACCACAGACTTCATCCCCATTTCTTTTGGAAATGTTTGGGAATCTCTCAGTATACTGATGGTCCTCCTATTCTCTTCTCTACTAGAGGTGTATTCCTTGATTGTCATTTATAGATGTCTCAAGAGGGAAGAGAGACAAAGATTTGTGCTCAATGTGCCCCCCTCGAACCTAAAGTCTGATACAGAATTTTATTCCTCTTAGGTTATAAAAGAAAATACAGTTATTTAATGTATATGAATTGATCCCCCCCACCCCCACCAGGTTTCACCGTTGGAGGAAACGGTCTTCCATGGCTTCAATGCAGAGCACCTATTTCCAGTGCCTCATTTGACCGTGGCCTCACATATACCCTGCCCTCAAGTGCAAGTGGAAAAAGTCGATCCAAAAACATGTAAGTGAGAGCTCGTCTTATATAGTTTGGAGCTTGTGACATTGCAAAACCACAGGGTGGGGACAGGGCGGGGTCATAGACAGACCTCAGGGAGACCACATAAATAAGACAGAATGAGTTCTTGTCTTAATTTTTCTTTTTAAGAGAAGTACCCTTTATTCCACTGATTAATCTCTAAGGTTGAAATATAATAACGATGATAAATAACAACAAGCATATTTTGATTCTACATTAAATACAAAGGAGCAAAAATGTAAAAAATAGAAGAAAATACCATGCTGCCTTGCTTTGTAGGTTGAAGCCAGGGATGCAGGCTTCCTACATCTTCCTCCTTGAGCCCCAGTTCCTCCCGGGTGCCCCTCTCCTACTGGTTTGTTCTGGTTTCTCTGCTAGTGTGCTATGGGCCTTGGCAACCACGGCCACCACTGTCGTGGCCATAAGCCCTATACATCACTCCCCCCCACCCCGCCCCGTTCCTCTCTGGGCTCAGTTCCTCCCACACCCCTCTTGCTTTTTCCTCCAGCCACACTGGCCCCCTTGCTGTGCCTGTGGCCCTGGCCCTGTGTAGGATCCGGCCTGTCCTGCCTGACTACAGAAGCTCAGAGAGATATTTTAAGTTTCTTTAGTAATACAGCCCAACTCAGCAGTCTGGAGTAACATGTAACATTTAAGGTTGTGTTAGTTCATGGACAGTGCCTTTTTTTGGTTCAGAAGCAAATGTTTCTCCCAGATTAACTTGGGCTATTTGAAATTTTCAGTGGGAATGTTTTTGTTTGCTTTAGGTTCCCCCAAAGAATATTTGGAAACATTCATCTTTCCAGTTCTGCTTCCCGGAATGACTAGCCTGCTTCACCAAGCAAAGAAAGAAAAATGTTTTGAGGTCAGTTGTTTTGTTTCTTTATTTCTAAGTGCTCAGTAATTCATTTCTATCAGATGGTAGCTCCTTATCTCAGTACCATCAAGTGGTTGTTCACAAAACGATCCCTTTGGGAGGGAAAGCCTGTGTTTTGGTCACTCACGCAACTCCAGCCATGACATCTAGTTGTGCACACACATGCGCTGCCATCTGTCTGCCGCTCGGCTCCAGAGAGGTTTCCCGCCCTGCTTGGCCTCCCTGCCTGCCTTTCTTCTGGGCGGTTGGCATCTACCAGGCGTCTTGGGTCCTCCGCCTCTTTCATTGCGTGCTCGGATTAAAGCTCTCCTCACCTCTTATCTGGCTCCGGATTGCTCTTGCCACCTCTGGCCTCTCCCTACTCCACTTCACGCCAGATGTCACGCATGTGACGTGCTTTGGGAGAGGCCCGGCGCACAGCGAGTGCTCGGTAAATACTGTTCACTGTTACACTGCAGCCAGTTATCTGTGTGAAGCGAGTTCCGATCCTGGCGCACTCCCACGTAAATACCCTTAGCGGCTCCCTCGTCTCAGTTGACAGGATGCTTTGTGGGGGTGTTCCCTGCACAGTTTGAGTACTAGAATTTTGGATGGCTTGCAGGAAGAGAGGCAAATAGCAGCCACTTTTTGTATTGACCAAGCGCTTGCTCCATGGGGGCGCTTTTTTTTTTGTGAGGAAGATCAGCCCTGAGCTAACATCCGTGCCAATCCTTCTCTTTTTGCTGAGGAAGACCCACCCTGAGCTAACATCTATTGCCAATCCTCCTCCTTTTTTTCCCTGAACGCCCCAGTAGATAGTTGTATGTCATAGTTGCACATCCTTCTAGTTGCTGCATGTGGGACGCGGCCTCAGCATGGCCCGACAACAGTGTGTCGGTGCGCGCCTGGATCTGAACCCGGGCGCCATTAGCGGAGTGCGCGCACTTAACCGCTAAGCCAGGGGCCAGCCCGGGCGCTTTGCTAAGTGCATTATCATCCATTATTTCATTTATCCCTCTCAGCAGCCCCGTGGGGTTCCGTCTATCATTGTCTGCATTTTTCAGATGAGAAAACAGAGAAACAAAGAGGCTCAGAGACGTGATCAAGGGTGAATGACAGAGCTAGGATTCAAATCCAGATTAAATGATTCAAAATGATACTAAAATAGTTGGCAGTAACTGCAGTGCAAACCCCTGTCAGTTTGACACGTCCCAGGATCTTTAAAGCCTTCACGGTTAATTGTATCACCTGCCTGGTTGCCCTTCCGCACAGGGTCCCTGTCTGAGAAGATCTGGATACTGCCCTGACAGTGCTTTTATATGCTGAGGAGACGACGTTTCCACATGTTCTAGCAAACACTTGAGTTTTCTTTCTTTCTTTTTTTATTGTGAGGAGATCAGCCCTGAGCTAACAACTGCCAATCCTTCTCTTTTTTTGCTGAGGAAGACTGGCCCTGGGCTAACATCCATGCCCATCTTCCTCTACTTTATACGGGACACCACCACTGCATGGCTTGACAAGAGGTGCGTTGGTGCGCGCCCGGGATCCAAACTGGCAAACCCTGGGCCCCTGCAGCGGAGCGCGCGCACTTAACCACTTGCGCCACTGGGCCAGCCCCCCACTTGAGTTTTCTTTAGTGCTACCTTGACATTATATTGCCCCTCCTGCACCTTAGTCAACCCACTTTATTCCTCCCCCCAATTGACTGCCACTGATGCCCTCAGCATGACATTCCTTCCGACAGGCCTCACCATGACAGTTGTGTCTTTACTAAAGGCAGAAATGAGTTACAAGACGTTGATCAGAATTTAGGGAGCACCCCGATGAAGGAAGATTTGGGTACAGTGCCGGGCCACAATACGCCATTTGAGAACCATGGATCCACATAAGGAAGCCAAGACCCCTGAGCCTGGCTTTCAAGGCCCTCCCCAGTGTTTTCCGTCCTTCCTTCCAGTCTCATCTCCCTCTGCTGTCCTGGGCGATGCCCTCCCGACAAACAGAACCACTCGGAGTTCCTTGTACCAGCCCCACACTTCATGGCCTCTGTGCATATGTTCTTTCTTTTTCAGAAAAAAATCCTTGAGTTCCTCTTCTCTGCGTATTGAAGTTCTGCTTGTTTTTCGAAACTCAGCTCTATGGCTTCTCTTTCAGGCCTCCTATTCCCTGCTGCATCCAAACTGCAAGTAATGGAACACAGCTCTCAGATTTCAGAGTATTTCGTCTGTTCCTCTTCTCGTGGAAAATTAAGACATCCTTAATTAAGACATTCTTAACCCATAAATACACTTCATTTTATACATGTCTGTCTCCTCCAATATTTTAAGTTCCTCGAGGACAGATTCTCTATCTGATTTATTTTCGTATCTCCACTCAGTGCCTAGTACACTCTACCCAGTGCCTCACCCCTGGGGAACATAGAGTTGACCCTCAACAAATGTTCACTAAATGAGTGCATGGTTGGACGTCAGGGGAACACCTCTACTGCTAAACCCAGCTCTCTTCTCTCTGGGAAGGCTGTGTTCTTGGACTCATCCCTGGAGGAATGCCCTGGAGGGCCGAGGAAGAAGACTTCCATCTATTTTGTGAGTTTAGTCAAAGCAAGAGAGCAGTGGGTGGCAAACGGCAACATCTGCCCCCCATTATGTTAATTATGCAATTAATTAGTAAATTGGGCTTTAGTTTATAGCATAGTAGTTAAGAACAAGTCTCTGGAGTCAGAGTTATCTGGTTTTGAAGTCTACCTCCACCCCCGCTGGTGGCACAGCCTAAGGCAAGTTATTTCATCCTTCTGAGCCACCATCATTTCCTTATGTGTAAAATGAAGGTGATCATAGCACATGCTGGTGAAAGGAGGCAGCCCGTGCAGAGCGCTCAGGGCGGTCCCTGGAACACAGGAAGAATTCAGTAACTATTAGCTATTATTGATCATTAGTATTACTGTGCTACAGGTGCTCCCCAGGTAGGGCGGGTTACACCCGTTGCCTGAGTGGGCTTGCTCTTGTTCCTTGGCTGTCCAGAGGCCTGACTCAGCACTTGGTCCCAGCTCCCAAAAAAAATGCAATTACACAATGATTTCGTGAAGGTTTATTTTGTTGATAATTTTCTAGGGAGGTGGGAAGAGGGCTTTGTTTGCGTCTGTCAAACAATACTTCATTAAGCCTCCTAGAACCCTCTCTGTCCTCTCCAGGCACCTCCTCCCCACACAGCCTCTTCAGATTCCTCTTGGATCCTGCACCGTTCAGCTCTGGCCCTCAGCTTGCATGGCCCACTCAGCGAGAAGAGCCCAGCATTCAGCTTACCCTTGCTCCCTTCAAATGTGGTTCAGTCACTATCCATAGCCCATGGGGAGTGGGGGAGGTGGTGGGGGCTTCACCCTTTCACCCCAACAAAGGCAGGATTGTAAAGTTTTCTTGATATTGCTCTGGCAGAAGTGTTAGTGTGGAGACACAGGCCTTGTGAAATCAAATCTAGGGAGCGTCAGTCCTGCCTCACTCTCCTGACTTGTTGGTTCAGCCGGTTGTCCTTACCGAAGGACAGGAGAAACCACAATGATCAGACCCCATTTTCATTAACATGAGAGGGCACGCTGCCGAAGGGGACTATAAATAGAAACACCTGGTAAAATAAAAGTCAGCAGTTCAGGCACTGACTGTTGAGTCCAGGTGATGGCTCTCCTCTCACCGCTGGTTTGACTACTGCTGTGGTAATAGCAATCGTATTGATGGTCAGAGAAGCTGTCTCATTGGTTAGTTGCCCACTTCATGTCAGCACTGGTCCAAGTGCTTATACACTCATCTCATTCACCCCTCCAAGCCCCCTCTAAGCCAGATCTCCTTTTACATCAACCCCTTTTACAGAGGAGGCACCCGGAACTCAGAGAAATTGAGCATTACCTAAGATCACCCAGCTACTGAGCAATGGAGCATGCCTTCATCCAAGGCTCAGATGATCCCAGAGCCTGGCTTTCATCCCTCCCGAAAAATGGGAGTTGGAGGCTATCCTTTCAATAGCTCCAGGAAATACTGATTTTTTCATTCATTGCTATTTTCTGGAGAACAGATTGCTACTTGCCTTAGATTATAAAATCTAAACTGCTTCTAATTCTTATGTATTTTTCATTTGCTCATTTGGCTTCCCCTGATGACTTAATTATGAATAAAGGAGAAGAATTGACCTTCCCCTCCTCTATGTGGTGTTAGACAGGTGAAGGGGTGGCTGGGTAGAATGGTAGCGAGGCTGGGGGCCAGAGAGCAGGGCCCTGGGCCTGGCCCTGCTGTCGTTAGGTGGCCTTGTCTCTCTGCCTTCAGGTCCTGCTGCTAAATGAGGGAGACCAGGTGATCTCACAAGTCACATTCCAGGGATCGTTCTTTTTAATCTTGCTGTTGGCCAAAGTATATTCAGTGCGCTGTGCCTTTTATTCGATTAAACAAGGATGGAATACAACAATCAAACAATGAAATGCGCACAGTAGAATAACCTTTGTTTGAATATCTGTAAAGAATATCTGCAAACAGATTCAGTCACCCAAGTTCAGTTCCATTCAACAAACATTTTTTAAGCCCTACTATCTGCTGATCACAGGGCCAGGCCCTGGGGACACAGAGAGGACAAGATACGGCCCTGTCTTCAAGAAAACCACAAACTAGGAGTAAAGCCTGTGGTAGCTGAAGGATGATGGAACTAAGGTAGTTTTTCTTCTTCTCCCCTTTGTGTCTGTTCTTTTCTGCTCCTCTGAAATGAGAATGAAGGTGGAAATGGCAAGAGTGGGTCTGGTGCTAGGAATTCACTTCTAGACTTGAGGGCAGCTCTGTTTGTTGTGCAGCCGTTATTCTAACTTATTCAGCTGTTCTTCTAATTTCTACCCCTTCAGAGGCACAAAGATCAGCTAAAAGGGCAGTAGTGAAGATTTTACATTGAGGACTGCATATCTAACATTCGCCCATAAATAATTTTGTAACGAGGGGTCTAGAAAGTTTTCAGCCTCCAGGCAATGATAAAACGCTTTTAAA